CTAGGACGTTTCTTGTTGACGGTCTGGACGGTTTCATCTGCTTCAAACTTGTCTCTCCTGCGAGCAATGGTCCAGCGCATTGGTGTGGTTTTTGCGAATTCCCATCTATATCGCCTTTGCACTTCACTGGTGTTTTAGGTCTTCCAATAACATTTCAGGGCAAACTTCCTCGCTTTCAAGCTAAGTTGATTTCCTGCCATGCTGTGTTAAATAAATTACACCTGCAGTTAAAAAAAGGTAACATGTTAGCGATAGTTAAAGTTTGAGTACCTTTTTTTGAGACACCCTGTATGTGGACTATCGAGTTAACAGGCCATGAACGAATCATCATGACCGCTTTTTTCATTTGTTATTTTTTCTATCCGTGGATATCATCCAAGTGTAACAGTATTCTTCCTCCATAGTTTAATTAAATAATTTAGTTATCTAGAGATGTTTTGTCTGTCTGCTAACCCCCTACACAACGTCGAGCTTACATGGGGGCTCGGCTGGTTCTTAATAAAGTTCTCAATGAAGGTAAGCTCTTATTTCATCTTGATTATTGCTTAAGAATTAATTAAAAAAATCTTTTGAATATAATTTCGATGAAGTGAAATTATATTTTTGCCACCAGAACTTATTGTGTTAAAAACCAGAACTTTTGTTTGAATTCACAACTGAATTTTCATTTTTACTGTATTAACTTGTTCATTACTTGTGGTCTTCGAAATAGTTAAATTGTGACAGTGTCAACTCGAAATGATATACCACATATAGCTAAATCTTTAAAATCAAAGCAATTAAGTTACTGCATAAATTTGTGTTTGATCAAGAAGGTGACCGTGCAAGTCGCAAAGGGCTTCGTGAATTCACAGGACTAGATAGCTCTTTTAACTCTTCCGAAGTTAAGGAACTTTTATTAAATATTTTCACTCTGGCAGATCTAATTTCGATTCTTAATGTTTTGAATTTAGAATGTGCCATTTCCGCTGATGAATGTCACATTACAATCGTGAATGCTTTCACTAATTTCGATCTATTATTAGAAACTATTATTTACGATTCTGATCCCCACACTGAAGTGGAAAAAACTCAGAAAGAAAATTAATTCCCCAAAATAAAATGGAGTCTCAAAACACTGCGCGCTTAATTACTTGTTCGAACTTGGCAGCTAGCTAAAACGCGCAGAGTTTTAGCTGCGATATTTGTTTATATAAACATCAAATGAATAATACACCAGGCATGTCATCTATAGTAAATGAACAGCAATTGAGTAATAACATTCCGTGATTTATATGACTGTATTAAACCCTTTGACGGTTCTTCTGATAATTTAATTGCATATTTTTGAAATGACCTATAAGAATTATTTCAACTGAATAGAATTACGAATGATGTTCACAACATTATATTTACAAAAAATGCTTATCAGACTCTGCTAAAACTTTTATAAATGCGCTACATAATGTCAGAACTCTTACTGCGTTAAAATATTATTAGTTAGAAGAGCATCGGGGGTTTTGATTACACGATAAAACATTGCTTTGAACATCTTATGAAACATATAGATGATCTAAGTGTCTAAGTCGTTTTTCCCAGTAACGGTAATCGCCATCGACAGTGTCACTTAAAGATTATTGACGCACAATCAACTGATAACTTCATTACTTTGGATTACACTTTAGAAAAAACCAGTGACTACCACTGAAAGAACGGTGTTCTGTATAAAATAGTTCATGACCAAAAACTTGGCTTAAGTTGTGCTTCAAGCAATGCAAACCGAAATAGTGCAAAATGTTCACTCTAAAGGTCATTTTTCTGCTCTTAAAGCAGAATCCATTATTAAACGTGATTATTACATTCCTAATTTATCTGCGATTGTTCAAAAAATAATTTTGAACTGCGTACTATGCATTCTTTCTTCCAAAAAGCCTAGTAAGGCAGAAGGGTTTCTTCACCCAATTCCAAAAGAGGCTACACCACTTGATACTTATCCACTTTCTGGGACCACTGCTGTCAATAAACCAAGAATTATAACTATCTTTTAACAGTTGTTGATTAATTCCCAAAATCTCTTTGGCTTTATCTTGTTAAATCGACAACTACTCTAGCCGCTGGTGACAAACTAAAATTACAGCAAATAACTTTCGTAATCCCCGACGCATTATCTCAGACAGAGGTGCAGCTTTTACTTCAACTGAATTTTAAACCTATTGTCAGGACCAGAATATTGAACATGTCACAATAACTACGGGAATTCCACTTGGAAATGGACCGACGGAACGCACGCACTGTATTTTGATTCCCGTCTTAATTAAGCTATCCTTACAAGATCCTGAAAAATGGTTTAAACATGCTGTTTCTGCTCAAAGAATCATCAAAAGCACATCTCAAGCAACCAACTTCACTCCCTTTGAGCTACTTTTTTTTCCCAAAACTTTGGAATATCGTCTTTATTACAAAGATGAAAAATAAAGACGATATCAAAATTAAGCAAATACTTGAAGAAGAGCACTTCCAATCCACTTTACAAGTAAATAAAAATGACGTGACGAAGCGAAAAACAAAATTCTCAAATTTCAAGAGGAAACAGATGTCAATATAAGAAGCGCCGTAAACGACCAACTTTACGCAGAGTTGGTGATCAAGTCGCACTTTAACGCACTCAATTTGGAACTGGAATGAAACTCCCCGATTTTTCGGACCCTACAAAATCACAGGTGTTAAGCCACATGACCGCTATGTGGTAGAGAACGTTGGAATAAATGAAGGCCTAATAAAACTTCCACAGCTGTTGCTCTAATGGAACCATGGCCTTCTCAACGATGAACTTTTAATTTAGAATTGATATACTATACAACTGGACATTCTATTTAGTATTTACTACTTCTATACTCCAATTTCTTTTTTTTATTCATTAGTTGTTTTAATTACACGCACAGGCACACACACACGCAAGCACGCACACACGCACGCACACATCTACCACAGCCGAATTTATTTCATGAGATGAGAAAATTAAAGTGTTGCCTTCACATTTGTCAATAACCGTTACTACATTACGCATTGGCTGAATAAAAGGGGCTTTGGATGTGTTGTTGGGGAATACTGCCTGCACACATAGGGGGATACTGTCTCCACACCTCCAACCATGCTGCCTAAACACGTAGCCAGAGTTATCTGGTGTACCCGCTAGTGTTGCATGCAGGGCCAGGCCTTTCCCAGTCATTGACCTGACATGTTCGACGGACGATAGATTTGGATAACGGGATGGCCAGATTAGCAATGCAGTACAGTAGGCTAAGAAGAAAGCTTGAACACTGCGTGCAACGTGTGTTGAAATGTGGCTGCAGGCAAGCGCTGAAGGTAAGGAAGGCAAACAGGTTGTAAAACTTAAGAGGTATAGCGTTGGCTGGGAAGTGTACCGATAATCCGTTAATTAGGGGGTGCGGTAGTGGAATCTAATACCACCCCACACCATAACACCTGGTGCAAGACCAGTATGACAATGTATACCACAACAGTCTAGCAGCCTGTCTCCACGATATTTCCAAACTCTAATCCATCCATCGTGGTACTGCAGGCAGAAGCGTGATTTGTCCGAAAAACACAGTGTCATGTTATTCGAATGTTCATCTCTGCCGTTCTGTGCACCAATGCACACTCAAATGCTTATGGTTTAAAGGTAAATGAAGCGGTGGACGCCTAGCGGAAAGTCCACTGTACTGTAAATGAACGTCGTATTGTTCGTGCAGACACCGAATGTTGTGTTGCAGACTGCATTCGTTTTGTTATGTAGAAATGAAGAGGCTACTATTATTTACCCGAAGTAAGTAGGTATTATCCCCATACACTAACTAGAAAACCAACAACCTTCCAGCGTTCTCCAGTCCTGATGAAATTGTGACTCCAGCTAACACTGCAAGTTATGCCACCGCTAGCGGCATTAACGGCACTCCTACTTTTCAGCGTTCAATTAACTGAAGTAAAACGCATTACATTACATGATATACATAGCTGTACAGATGCATATTTTATGCCGTTATTTATTGTAGTGGGTACAGGTATCATGTTTGAGGACATTATTGTAAAATTCTACGTGGAATTTTTTGTTTTGAGTTTCTTTCACGTTATTTTTTGCTTATTTCACTATTTTTAAGATATTGAAAAGTTTTGCATGATTTTTTTCTTCAACGGAAAGTTGCTTAATTTTTTATTCGGATAATTAATATTTGTATTAAGGGATATAACTTATTTCATTGTAATTTTTTCCTCTTGAAAATATAAGATAAAATATCATTAATTATACTTTGCTTTTCAGAATTTTTTGTATTATTTTATGTTATTTATTACTCATTTCACTGTCTTTAAGATATTTAAAAGTTTTGAGTGATTTTTTTTAGGAAACAAAGTTCTTAACCTCCTTCATACCATTTGAGTTCTTAAGATTTTGCAAAGGGAAGTTGGTTAATTTATTTATTAGGATAATTAATATTTGTATTAAGGGATATTGATTATGTCATTGTAATTTTGTTATACGTAACAGCTTTTTTTATGAAGTCGTTCTGCAGAGTAAAATTCTTAAGTTTTTAAATTTAACGTTTGGTGTTCCCTTCAGCCATTTTTCCGGTACATTTAGAAGCCTGGCAGCGAAGCTGCTAGTTTATTATATGCTGTTCGCTCTTTAAGTTATATTATGTTATCTTAAGTTACCTAGTTAAACAGCAGCCACCTATTATTTAGCCTAAGTAAATAGGTAGTAGCCATTTTCCTATGTTTTTAGGTTAAATAATAGATTGCTTGTGTGTGTCCTATGTTCTGCTTCATATGGTTCGAGGTGCTTATTTCTTTCCTGAGAAGATATGCCCGTGTACATTGTATCTACATTTAACTGCTTTGTTTCGCTTTAACAGCGAAAGAAATAGAACTTAACATAAAAACTGAAGTGAAATATCGGCATTAAAATGATCTCAGTGAAGTAACTGTAAAATACGCTGTAAAACAACAATAACAAAACAACATTTGAGTATCAAACTAAATTTATTGAAAATAAAAGATTTTCTACAACATTTCTGTCGAAAATCTACACATTTCTTTCACTTTAAAATAGATTTCAACAATATACGTTTGGCATTAACAAATCTTACACATTCTGTGACATGCTCGCGCATAAAACGAGTTTTAAAACATTTGGGCTGTAGAGTTGCAAGAAGCACTTTTACGCAAATTGTATGTAGTAAAATGGTTTCATTTTATCACATCATTTATTTTCTTTCAAAAAATGCCCAGGAGCCAGATTTATAGTTTCTTTTGTCGTCGTCAATTTAAACTAAGGCATTTCTTTGCAGTTGTGAGGAGAAAAGTTTGAGATGTTATAAAATGACTGAACATTAAAAAGAATTTAGTTAGTTTGATAATTAAATATAATTTTGACAGAAATATGTGTTTGGTTTTGCTTTGTTAAATAAAGTTTTTCTCATTTTTTGATGTTATTTATCAGAAACCTATTTGACTCACCTTTGAATATAAAATCAAAGGTGAGTTTATTGTATAATTTAACTCTGACATCTTGCACATTTAAGAAATTCAAAAAGATTTTGCGAGTTAAAAATTAATTCAAACTCTGTTACTTTAACGATTTTATTCGCTCAGAACAAAACAAAATTAAAACATTAGCTATTAAATTATTGAAACTTTAAAATATTAGAAGGTAGTAGAGATTAAAGATTAGTAGGGGCTCACAATTAGAATTTTATGTTAATAATTCGCAATAAAATAAAGTAGGGAATATACAATTCAGAGTAATATTTTGTTATTTACCCTTTTATACGAAGTATTATGGATTGTTTTCTTTTTGTCGACCGAATAATTTAACCGAAGTTTTCTCATTAGCATTTTGTTTCAGCAAACAATTTTTAAAGTCTACTGAATAATTTAAGCAAAGTTTTCTCATTAACATTTTGTTTCAGCAAACAATTTTTAAACAGATTAAATGTGCGATTTCTAATATAAATAATAGAAATGACAAAATACTTTCAATCGCTTGCATTAAATAAATTCTGCGCACTTTTCCTGTAAGAGAGGCTGACTTTATTTGAACAATTAACACTATTTTATTATTTCACTGGTATAATAAATTTAACATTTAGATTTAATAAATTTTATTGATTCAATTCAATTTTCTTCTATTCCTTTCAATTTTCTATTGGGTCATGTGGAAAGTTCTATGGTGTTCTGATGATAAATATAAAGGAAGAAGTACAAAAACGTAAAAATATTTTGTAAAGACCTTATTTTATTCTAACCAATTATTTTTTGCTTGTGAAACTTCTTCTCTTTTGATTTCAGTTTCCTGCCAGAATGTAAATTTTAATGACGTAGTATGCAAATCTAAGTGAGTTCGGAATCAGTATTTAAGCAGCGGTTTTAAGAGTTCGTGTGCAGTAGTAGTGGAGTTAGTTCCGAGTTTATGCCTCGTGTTTGAAGTAGCTTTGTATGTGAATAGTTGGTGTTAGTCATCCTCTTTAGATATTATTGATATTGTAGGTTCGGCTTTGCTGTCTGTAGCCGATTTAACGCGTTAAATAATTAAGGAGCCAGCCATGTAGGCCATCTTACTTTATTGTGATTTTACATTTTTATTTTTTTGTTAGAGTTACTTAACCACAAGTGGTGGTAAGTTGTGAGCACCAAGCGAGTGCGCTCTGTTAAGTTCAAATAAAAAGGTTTTTAACCTTCTTCTGCAGTATCTGTTCTTCCAAGACTTAGCAAGAATTCGCTACGTAATCTTTTCAATGGGGTTCACCGCTGAATGATCCCGAAAAGAACAAGACTACAATATCATAAGCAGCATTTTGCTCTATGACACTTTTCCATTCCTCCAGCAGCTGGGAAAGTGTCATTAAATTTATGCTTAAGAAGACTATTGAGATGCTGTCTGGCAGTCTCAAAAGAAATGAACTCAAAGCCATCCAAAGAATTTTGAAGTGATTGGATGAGATTAAAATCCAAGGGAAAAGTTCTAATGAATATAACGAGGGTGATATAAAACATGTAAGCCATGCTCAATATGTCTTAATCTGACATCCATCGAAATGTGAAGTCAAGCATTCACATGACGGCACCTCAACAACTAGGCAGTTCTGGGCCCTTCAATTTCTGCTTTTAAAACTGCTGTCTAGGATCAGCGGTTTTGGGAATTTATAGTCCGATTTGGAGATAACAATTCATATATACAATTCCTCTGTAGTTTGATTATACAAAAGCCGTCATCTTGATGATACTAAAGGAGTTTCGTTTGGCTTACACTATATCTTTCTCTAATTATTATATAGTATCCATTCCTCAACGCCTGCAATCAGCCGTTTGAGAAAAGGAACTTCTTTGGTGTTCTTTAACAAAGAATAACATGCGAAAACTCGAGCAAGCATATTCTGCTCTATTCAAGTATGGAAAAACCCATGCATCGTAGCAGCTTCTTCAGATGATCCTGTACTGATCTTTTTTGAATTTGGTCTGTCGGATGGTTGTTGAACTATAACTTGGATTTTCAGCGATAACTTCTTTGAATAGGTCCTTGTTTACAATGATGGTCGTCCAGAACGGGCATCATCTTCGATGTTGAAATTTCCCGGCTTCTCAAATTGCCTCTGAACTCAGAATCATCATCAGAAACAGCACTTTTCCCATATACAGCACAAATTATAGGAGCAATCTGATTCATATTTTGTTTCTTTTCTTTTACATGAAAAAGCAAAATAAGACGAAAATGAACTTCTGGGCTCTTCATAAAAATTATGCTACAATATAAGCTAGAATTACGCAACGTGAGCAGAAAAGAATAAACATCGCTTAAACATTTCCTTCAATCAAGTTCACTCCTTATTAACAGTAATAAAATAATGAGAAGGAAGCAAAACTTCGATTTGAGAAACGGCAGAACTTTCCAGATGACCCAATTTATTGAGTTTAATCTTTAGGCTACTTATTTTTGTAGTTATACTTCACTAAATTTCTTTAATAACTCAAATGGGCAAAAGAAAGATTTGATTGAGAAGTTAAGAGATATTATTAAAAATAATGACCTGAAACAAGAATATATTACTAAAATTTTACCTCTGGTTTTAAGTGTAATTAGAAAGATATTAAAAATAAAATTTGGCATCGAAACAGTCATGCAGATGTGGGCGTAAAACAATATTTAATGACAATTCAAATATTTAATGACAGGGTTCAATGTGGAGAAGCCAAAAAAAGTTGTATTTTAACTAAGTACCGCCATCTTTAATGATTCGGAGCTTCATTTCTGTTGATGATATTGGACCTATCGAAATAACTAAAAAGGGAGAGTAATTTCACCAAAATACACGGAGATCTTGAGGTAAAGCTTAGTGATATGGTTTCCTCATGGATGTACAATGTTTTATTAAGACAATGCTTCTTGTCCAGGATCCTAAAAAATTATTTTATTTCTAAAAATTTCATGTACTAGCTTCGTCTAAAAATAGCTGACATGATCCCCGGAAGTACGCCAAAAAGAAATAACGAACATGGATAAATTAAAATTAACTTAAAGAGCCCAGATACTAGAGAATTATGACGAAGATCTATACCGCATAAATCTTTATTGAAGGAATGCCTGATAGAATCCAGGTTTGTTGAAAGCCAAATGGTGTCATAGTGAATACTGAAACGTATTAATATTGCTTGAAATGTATTTCATTATAAGATTTTTTGTCTGGAAATGTAATTAAATGAAATATCGGAAATATCATTATAACAATCACTTATTCATAGCAATATATATTTAGCATTCGGGTTTTCAAAAACTCCTTATAATTTTCAGAAGCCTGTAAAACGTCGCGGTCGCAAGGTGGCACTACAATGATTCATTGTTTAAGTATTCATTATCATTCGAGAAGCGGCAAAAACTGCCAAATGATGGATCCTGAAAGGACTGCTTACCTATTTTTAGTTTCAACTCTCTGTGCTTTACTGACCATTCTGAAATCAATTTAAGCTTGATTAACTATTAGGTGATTATGGAAATTACAAAAACCTCCCGGCATTTTGTGAACGCATATACAATGAATCAAAAAGCGTATTGGGTCAAAACAAGTTTGAAAAAATGTCTTTGAGAAAATATTTTTGCAAAAATATTTTTTTTGCAAAAATATTTAATATAAATTAAATACTTTTATTACATGCCATATCTTAGAGCTGAACGAAATCGAAAAACCTTAAAATGACTGGAAAAATAAAATAAATACTAAATTTTACACTGTATTGTGGCACACAAACATTATTTAAAAAACTCTATAAAAATCGTTATAGTTAATGTACTGCGTCACCTTTTCCTATCATGAATTAACAGAGTTTTCTTGGCTCCGTCTCTCTAGTAAGGATCACACTCATCTCTTTCCTCTCGCAAATAAACCGATATCCAAATATATCACACGTATTTGTGCTCATGGTGGTCACGAATTATTACGAACATGTAGTAATTAAAAACAAGAAAAGAAAAAGTACTAGTGTTAATTTTATGGTAAAGATTTTATTTGCAAATCGAAAAAGGTTTAAAATCTAATTTTAGCCAATCTTTCGGATACTTCTGGTCCAGGATTTTTTTCAGAAAGACATACTTTTGAAAAGTATGTAATTATTGTTTTTTAAACTCAGCTTTCATTTATAATCGTAAAATATGACGAAAAAAATACCAAAAAATTTAAGGTATATCCTAATATACTGAAGTAATCGCTAAATAATTTAATCTGAAACTTTTGACTTAATCTGAAAATAAACAACTTGCAAAACTTCCCAAGAGAGACAAAGCTTGAGAATAAATAACGACAGCCTATTTTTTATTTACTACATTTTTCTAGGACTCATAGGAAAAAATACATATTTATATGTAAATGATTATAAACTTCAGTATTTCTTACTACAGCTTTCAGCTACAAATCTTTGTGGCATTTCGATTTTCACAAAGTATGTAACCTCAAAGAAACGTTTCAAGACACTGTTTCCATCACGACTTGTAGAATATTCATCGGCATCTGGTTCTTTTCTTAGACTTATTAATTTTCAAATATGGAAAAAAATCAGTTAACAAGCACTCCCAAACAAAGTGACTATTCTTATTCAAAAATTCGCAACTGAAGATATTTATCTTTTGATAAGTATAATAATAATTTAATCGAATAATAAAAAATAAAATTAATATATAAAAATATTAATAAATGTTAGTAATAAAATTTAATCAAAGTTATATCTTGTTTCCATTTGTCTTAAGATTTATACCGCAGTTTAAATTAATTCCATTGGTAGATGTTTTTAGGGCATGACTCCCGTCCGTTTTTGGAAATAAAAATAATATAAAACTGGACTCCAAATCATTAAAATATGAAACTTTTTGTTCTCTTGTTGTAATAATGGTAATTAATTTAGGGCGAAATGCATTAGCGGGCCATGTAAAATTTTTACGAGCCACTTGTCCGATATCACTGTTCTAGGTTGTCAAAAATCCTGGAACCGGGCCTGATTGGAATCTTATATATATTATAGTTTTATTTAATGCTATATAAGTTTCCATATTTGTTATGTTCTAAATTTAGAAAGTCTTTTGTAATCTTAATCAGTAGTTAAGGCTGTTTTGCTGATGAGGATTAGAATTCTTTTTTTTAGAATTACGATAGACCTGTAAAAAGAGCTTCAAGTCTATTACAATTCTGAAAATATTATCGATGGTGAGTAACATTTAGGGGCTTTGTTGATAGAAGGCTAAAGATTTTCTCTCGCGATGTAAACAGAGATAAGCTGAGGCACTTTCTGCTCCTAGTTGAAAAAGATACAGCAAACAACTTTATAATTTAAAATAATGAGATGATGTTAATTCTCATTTAAAATTTACTTGGGAGGAACTTTAACTTCTAATATGATTCACAGCCCAGAAAAATTCTGGGAATCAAAATATTTTTCACTTTATTTACACCTGTTATGTCTGATTGCTTTCAGTATTGACTAACAAGATGCGTCACTGAAAATACTGGACCTCCGGGATAAAATACCTACTGGAACATATGCTAGATTGTCATAACCAGCAGAACTGCTTCCACTAGTCAAACTTCCGGGCCTTGTATAAAGGAAATCTTTTCCATCTTTTGATACAGGAGATAAGTGAATGTCTTTGTTGGTTGAATTAGAAGATTGGCTGCTCCCATTTCCGAAAAGCCCTCGCAAGCTGAGGATTGATGAAGAATTTGATTTCCACGGGGGACTTGTGCTGTTTTCTATAGCTATCTTTCTTGTGCTGGTGGTGGACATTTCACTTGAATCTTCTGAATCGCAAGAGTCTACTTGAGACTCAGATAATGAATCTTCATCTTGATTCTTAGGATCGGAGGACTGGTGGCCGCTGTTGTCCACTGAAATACCGGAATCTTCACTATTCGTGTTAGGATTAGGTTGATTATATTCTTGGAGCTGTATCACTGCTGGGTGGACTGTACTTTGTCTTCTGTTGCACAGTTCGGTGGGAAGCATATTGAGGATTGTCTTTAAAAAATCTGAACTGCTGCCTTCATTTATTTCAGGCTGATGATTTCTGAAATGGTCTTTTTCATTATATACGTTTTTCTTATTTAGAGGATTTTCTTTTGAATGCTTTGTGCTTAATTTGTTGATTACAAATATAGGTTCATGTTCATGAATTATATCTGGTTTCCGTAGTGTACCATCACTCAGTGATCGGGGTTTCACTTTCGGTATTGCTTTTTTGTCCAACTGAGGTGAAGTGCAAATCTTGGGACTCAGTATTTTACATTTTTCAGAATAACAAGAAATGTTTTCAGGAGAATTTTGTAGCGATTCCGTGTTGTTAATTTTTACTTCCATTGAAATGGTTTGTGATTCAGTAGGAATATTTAAAACTGTATCCTTTAGAGCTTCCTTAGACAATAGCTGCACACATTTGGAATCTTTGGGAACCACCTTAAGAGAAAGATGTTGAATAATATTTTTAGGCATAAAAAATAATGCAAAACACTAATAACAGTACATTTCGTATACACTTAATAACACTAGAATACGTTGAACATTGGAAGATGTGAAAGCACTAAAGACATTTTGTCATAGTCTTGTGAAGCAAGATTTTCAATTATGGTTAACATGAAAACAAAGAAACGCGACAGCCTGGGAAATTTAGAAGGGAAAATGTAATTGGCTTCGTTATTTATTCGCTTTAATATTGCTGAAATCTGAAAAGATACCGATCTCATGAATCGCATTACATTTACGAATTTTTTAATTTTTAAATAAATATGTTTGCATCAGTCAATATCGGTAGTTTATTCTTTTATGAAAGTAAGTCTTTGAAACAGGGGGTGTCCAACCTGCGTACATAATGCACTTGCGAGACGATTCAGTTTATTTTCTTTTAAATAATAGAGTTATTTTTCCTAGCAGTGTCCTTATCTTTCATTGTGCTCTTGATCTGAAAAAGGTTGGCCACCCCTACTTTATACGCTGTATTGTAAGCGTTCCGCGAAAATATTTTCCAGATTTTAATGTTGTTCGACCTAAAACTGATCACCAAAGATCTAATCACTTTTACAGTACGAAAACACTCGCATCAGAATGGCATATTTCTCTATATTCTTTTCCATTTAAAGCGCGGGAAGAAAGAAAAACGACACTTAATGTATCAGCTTCAGATGATTATATGTTACCGCCCACGAAATACTTTCGGGGGACACTGCAGAGACTATTGTAATTTTTTTTATTAACGGTAGCTTGATTTAATGTTTACTCGTAATCTTACAATCGTTTTTAAATCTTACCTGCATCACAGCTCTTATGAGCTTAGGTGTACTCGGTTGCTTTTCTTCATGTTTTATCACATTATCTGGTTCAGATTCACTCTGGAAGCCCTTATTGGCTTGATCTCTTGCTGCATTCTCTTTTATTAGGCACCTAGAAGGAACAGGGAAATTGTAAAACGTTATAGGGAAGAAAAAGAGAATTTCACATTTCTAAAACTTCATGGGTATTTTTCTGTTATCGGGACCAGATTCAGAAATGTATGCATGTGTGTATGTATATATGTGTGTGTATGTGCGTAAACACACACCTACGTACATGCATACAGATACACATTTTTGAATCCATAAGTCCCATCATGAAGTCCCGATAACAGAAAAGTATTAATTTATGTATAAAAAATTAATTTGATATTTAAATACAATTCATAGACAGTTTCTCCCGTCTGCTATCATAAACAGGTATGTTTTATTAAATACACGATGCAGTTTCCCTCTTTTACAGCTATTCTGCTAGTAGCAATAAAATAATGCAAGTATTTAATTCATGGTTTTGCGGTATGAATTCGCAAACTGGAAGATTATAAAATTGTTATCTCACTTCGCTTTTTTCCTGAGCACTTTCTGAGCTTCTGGATAGTTTTTCAAAGCTTCCCACAAGTCATCCTTGCTCAATACAAATAGGTTGGAGAAGCCTTTACTTCTGACATCGGCAGTTCGACGGTTGCAACCAGGTATTCCTAGCAAACTGAAAGAAACCTTATGAGTACAATGTTTAAAATACACGAAGAAACTGAAACGTTACTACATAAATATAATTTGTCTCACTATATTTTAGATTCTCTAGAGATCATAGATGATTATGATTGTAAATATTATGGACAAGCAATTTAAATTTATAAATTATCATAGATAAGATATGAATTCTCTTTTCATTCCGGAACGGAAAACTAAAAAAATGGACAAAATAATTTTTCAACCCAAATCACTTGTAAATGCAGCTTTATTGCTTCAAAAACAAAACAACGTATCCTAGCCTTAACTCATATATTTAGAAGGCGCTGACAAAACTCGTATGCAGTATAAATGAAATTTGTATATGCACTGGGTAGAAAATAAAGTATTCATTCAGCCATTTCATTGCGATGCAGTGGATTCTAACCGGAATACCCTGAAGTACGGAAAATGAAAGGATTGAAAATAATACTTACCTGATTTCTCCGAAAACACTGCCTTCAGATAATGTTGCTAAGACAACATCTCCATTTTCTCCCCCAAAGACTTGGACTATCCCTTTGTTGACAATATACATTTCTTTGCCGACTTCTCCCTGGAAAAGAAAATCTTAGAGTGCTGACAGTGTTAAGCTCTTTTCCTAAAAAATTAAAAAATTCACATATATACTATATATATAAAGTAGAAATACTTTAATTCTGGTGCTTTCATTGCATTAGTATTAGGCTTCAATCTAAAATTTTAGATCACTGAAAATTTATTTCATTTATGACTTGCGGATTCTGTTACATTGATTTTTTCATTAAACTTCAGCTATACTGAGGATTCATTCACCTACTTATTTCTCGATGTTGAAGGTTTCGTATTCGAAAATACGAGAAAATTCCGTACTTGTCTTCTGCAGCAGCTTGGCGAGAATGTTGATTTGATGCGCTTCAGCACTGGCGAGAGCCCACCAGCGGCCGAGCGGTAAAGACGCTGAACACTGGTAGTTCGGTCCGAGGTTCGAATCCTGCGAACAGGCTGGCTGCATGGGCGTTTTCGTGATTTTCCCCATGTGTAACGTGTATACGGGCCAGTTTCCCTTAGAAAGTCCTCCACGAAGGCATCCCTCCCTTTAGGCAGATAGCCCTTGTGTGCTTTGCAATAATTAAATAATCTAATTCAATCCAATACAGCACTGGCGAAAAACAAATGGTTACTGATCTGTGTATGTGCAAAACACGAACGTCACTGCGCTCTATCAATATGGTGGTTTTCCACTATAAAATACTCATTATGTTTAGTGTTTGAACAAAATCATAAATTTTAAACTGTTTAGCTTACTATACTATCCAATTTTGTTAGCAGTTTATTATAAAAATATATACATACTGGAAAATTAATTTTTTTGCAAACTCTTTCTGATGGCTGCAGTTCAATAGTTGCTGTTAATTATGCCTCAAACACAATATGACGGCCGTCTTAGTGCCTGAACATGAACTCTGTTAAATAGGATTCCTGGCGTTGGTGAGCCGTACCATCGCCATTTCGTTGATTTCTACAATGCCGTAAGAAAAGTTTTTTTTTTTTTTTTTTTTTTTTTTACAGCTGCTGACATTGCATTATCAAACGGTTACCAGCATTTAATTATATATTATGGTCATTTTCAAAAATTCTTTGGTTTAGTAAAATAACATTTTTCTTGGAAAAATCTTTAGCTTTCTTTTCAGTTGACAACAGATTGAAAATAAGAAGCGCATGAATGATTGCAATGAAAAATCGTTGTATTTTAAAAGCGAAAATTTTTACTAGCCGAAGAAACGTGAACTAAGAACGCGAATGAAAAATTGTTATATTTTAAAAGTGAGTCTATAAAAAAGGCATATGCGCAGATAGGTAAACATAAACGTTTATTTCTCTCCAAGGGTGAAGCGCGCCAAATCAACATTCTCACCAAAGCCGCTGCAGAAGACAAGTACCAAAAATTCTGATATGACAGAGTTTTGGATGACTTATTTTAGGGAGTAACTATATAAATATAAATCACGGACAGTAGTTTTGATTAAAGAAGTATTAAAAAAATAATGGAAGAATTCCGATTCATAATATTAACTTTAATAGACTGCGTAATGGCTTCCAGTAATCACCATTCTCAATCGTGAAATAATTAAAGCATATGATTCTTTAGTGCAGGCTTGCATTTGTGTGGCTTTTATATTTTGCTTTGGATCATAGAAAGGAAAATTGTTTACGTTTATGAAACTTTTGTTTAGATGCTTCGCCGATTTCAGGTTTAATAACGTGAGTCGTACAAGATTTTGCTTACAGTAGTTCTTGCTCTCTTGATTATTTTAAATATTCTATTAATTTTTTACTACATTAACATTAGCAAATATTCTGATAAAACATTTAATCAAAGATAAATTTCTAAGTTATCACATGTTTGAACCTAGAGTTGAAGAGATAAAAATACAAGGTGATCGTCGCATACACGAAACTCTCAAAAACTGAGAAAGTTCTAAAACTGATATAATTGGCGAATTGCTTCAACGGATGACACCCTTATATTATTATAAATAATATATCATTTGAAATTTCAGCTGCAGTTTATGCTGTTAGTTTTAGAAACTGCTTTTTTTTTTGTGAAAGCTAGAAATGAGTTTTTCCTAAGAAAATCGAGCATTAGTTCGCTATTAATTCTTACGAAAAAAATATTGAAACGTTTCAGGAGACCTTTCAAAATGCTCATTGACATTTGGAACAAGACAAAATTCATTAACGAGACAAAGATTTTTTCCATGGTTACCCGATTTTGAGAAACTCGTAGCGTTAAACGTAAGAAATGAATTTCCGGCTTGTCTCTTCTGAGTTCGAAAAAAATGAGCGAAGTTAGGGATAAAGTATTGCAGTCGTCAAAAGATGGAATCGCAATCAAATTTATGCGTTGCGATGTAATGCTTAGTTCTGCTTGAATTTCTGGAAATTTAGTGTGGGCAACATTTGGATCAACTAAGTGAGCGATTAGCTTATGAATGTCCAATCAGCTGAATCATCTCCGAAATATTCACAAATATTTTCTTTTCTTTTTTTTTTTTTTTTTTTTTTTGAAGGAACTTGCTAACGTTAGGAAAATGGCGTCATCAGATATTACTGTATCTATTCGAAGAAGAGTAATCTGAAACCACAAATAAGGCGGTTGAAGGTCTTTGTGTCTAAAGATGAACCAAAGTTCGATGTTATAAAATTGGGATGTAAGCTGGACAATGTTAAAATCATTTCAAATAAACCTGAAGAAATTAAATTGAATTGTATAGTATTTTAAAAAGATTGTGAAGAGCACGACATTATCTTCTCAGAAATGGAGGATGACCTCGAAACTATGGTCTCTAAAACTGAACTGGGACGATTAATTACCTGAAACATTTGCCAGCAAATGAAATCGTTTTGTTTCAAAGTTAAAAGAGTTCGAAAAACCTTCAAGATAGACACGTTTTACATTCTACAGTCGATAAAAACGCTGCTGTCGTAGGTTTCACTGCTAGCAAGAATAATATTTCGCTTTCACACTCTCGGACTAACATTTTGACGCTCAGGGCTAAAGAAATTTTTTGTCTACACGGGGCCAAGAGCTGCAGTGAACTAGTTTGTTGTAAAGGGGACACCGGTCACGAATCCATTTCAATAAAATCTTATCTAGTCGGCCAAACGGTAAAGAAAACAAAACAGAGTTGGCATGTAACGTGTTGAATGAATGTCTATAGGAATCACGTTCCAAACGTAAACTATCTTCTACTGTGAGAAGAATCACTGGCTCTACAATACCAGCGCATTTAAGCGGCGCGCGTGGCCTGAACGGGATTGCCTAAAAATACGCGTGGTGCTCAACGTGTTAAATTTAGAAAAGTTAACATTATATATGACTATAACATTGGCATGGATAGAAAAGTTAACATTATATACGACTATAACATTAGCATGGATAAACTCTTTTCCACATTAACTCGTACTATTTGTTAAAGATCGTGATGCGAAAATTTCAGGCGTTATCAGAGAACTCCGAGTAGAAACTTATATGTTCTGAGAAAAATCCTGCTGATTTGGTTTCTCGTGGACGAAGCGAAGTTTCAGCGAAATTTTAGCTTTGAAACTATAGACGGGCATGCTAATATTGAAATCAGTGTTTTAAAAAAGGCTGATTTTGACAATACAAACTATGAAATTTATAAATCTGAATTGAAAAGATCTCCGGAAATTTCTTTTAGTATCACATTTAGTGCCGATTTCATCAACCACTTTCTTTCTTAAAATAACAGTTTTGTTAAACAAATTAAATATTAATTAATTCATATTCTTAGTTTTATTTATATGTTTATCTCCAGTTGTCGACAAGGTAAGAGGACATCAGGTCCCATTACTACAGATGAATTACGTATGCAAAGCTATTCATTTTAAAAATAGTTTAGGTAATAATATTCTAAAGAGAAATTCAAGCCCTTAGATGAGGTAAAAATCTAAAGGATAGTCACTTAAGTAATTTAAATCTTTTCCTTGAAGAAAGTGGAACACTTAGGGTGGATGGCAGATTAAATAAATCATCTTTGTCCTATGACCAAAAGCACTCAATTCTGCTGCTTAGGGATCATAAATTAACTACAATAATACAACATATTAATTAAAAAAATTTACTTCTTGATGCTTAAACTTTACTGCATTATGTTAGGCAGGAATTTTGGACATTAAATGGCAGAAACAATGCTCGTAAAAGTAGTACATAACTACATTACCTCTTTTAAAAATAACCAAAACAGGCCAATAACTTATGGCAAAATTACCGAAAGAGAGAGTTCTGTGAGTGCCCCTTTTTCGTAGCTGGCATTGATTTATACAGATCCTTTTACATAAAATATAGTAATCAACGAAGAAGTATCTAACATAAGAAATACGTTGTCATTTTTGTGTGCTTAGTTACTCGAGCGATACATCTCGGTTCTGTTATGGACTTGAATTCGCAGGCTGTAATTGCAACATGAAAGAGATTTTTCGCGCGACGCGGCCTCGACTGGATTATATATATATATTCAGATAACGATTCCAACTTTGCCGGAGCAAACTTCGAAGTGAAAAAGCTGTTAAACCTTCTCAAAAGTGCACCTAGTCGGTCGTCATAATTAGCTTTTGAATCAATTGTTTGAAAATTTAATCCACCTCGATTTCCCAATTTCGGTGGTATTTATGCAGCCAGAGTGAAATCCTTTAAACATAATTTAAAATGAACGACTGGAAACGCAAAATTAACTCTCGAAGAGCTTTTGATCGTTATAAATCAAGTTGAAGGTACAGTAAATAATAGACCTTTGTTGCCTTTATCTTCAGATACCAGTGGCTTCGAAACTTTGACCTCTAGTCATTTTTTAATTGGAAGACCTTTTAATGTTCAACCTGAACATTACGTTTCAAAAATTCCGGATAAAAGACTTTCCCACTTTTGCAGAAAATTGTCAAAATTAACCAAATAATATAGAAGAAATAATTTAAAGATAATCTAAATAACCTTCAATGTAAAAGAAGTAAATGGTTCTTTCAAAAGGACACAATAAAAATAGGTACTTTTTGTATTAAAGAGAATAAACTATATAAACATTTGGATAGTGGGCCATATCTACGATACCATCCCTGGAAGTGATGGTAAAATCCATGTTGTTGTTATCAAAACCCCTCAAGGATAGATAAAACGAGGAATATCTAGCGTATATCTATTGCTTACGAACGACTGAAGTAATGAAATTGTAGTACAACTCCTTCTACTAATACTGCATGTTTCTTCTACTATAAAATTCAGTTTATTTGTTTGTTGAAGTGATATACTGCAATTAATCGTTTAGAACTGACATGTATCTAACTTTAAATGTCTTAAATTACGTAGATTAGTTTTGAAATTAGTATTTCAACTTCGGGCGGGATATTGAAGCCTGATAGATTGGCTACGCAAAAACGTTCTCCTTCGTCGTTTGCTTAGCAATGAATCCTGCAACGCGCATGAGCCAATACAGTATTTTTCTTCTTTACAGTGGCCCACCAGCGGCCAAGGGGTAAAGTCGCTGAACACTGGTAGTTCGGTCCGAGGTTCGAATCCCGCGAACGGGCTGGCTGCATGGGCGCTTTCGTGGTTTTCCCCATGTGTAACGTGTATACGAGCCAGTTTCCCTTAGAAAGGCCTCCACGAAGGCATCCCTTCCCTTAGGCAGATAGCCCTCGAGGCTTTGCCATAATCACACACACACACATTCTTCTTTACAGTAGTGGTTTGATAGATTGACATACGTTTCCATTTGAAAGGCTGCTAATTGACCAATAGATTATGAAAAAATGAAAGATGAATTTGAAAACAAGTTAGTTTGGTTGTTTCATAGTTACTGTCAGGAATATCTCCTATTGCAATATTTAATCTTCTAGAATAATGACCGAGAAATACGTATTATTTCTGTGCAATTTCGTACAAACTTATAGAATTTAAAGAATTCATTTTTTAATAATTCATTTAATAATTGCAGTCTTCAGATTCGTTAATGAATTATATTTTGCTTGCATTAATAAAATTGAAAATTTATAAATATTGTAATACGAGACAAAAAATTTAATTTGTGATTTAACAATTAATATGGATATAATAAATTTTAAACCTGGCGTCACATCTTAATGTTTATTAAAGTCACGCAGATGTATAGTTCGGTGTATGAAAATGACAAGAGAAATGATTAAATTTTAAATAATTTTTATTTTTTTATAAATATGTTTTATTTTTAAACTGTAGTCTAGATTTCTCTTTGCAAAATAGTTAGATAAGAACATGTTGCAAGGCTGTTATTCTCAAGTATACGATAAATACCATTCTCTTCATAAAAATTCTCTCCAGAAGTCCTCAACAAAGGAGTTCTTTCAGGTGAAGTAACCAGTAAATGCTTTTCGAAATACAAGTAGTATTTATATTCTACATCTTTTGTTTTTCGTTTTTAGTAAGATAATATGGCTACTTGAAAACAAATGATTCTTTTCTGGTGAGTTTTTATTAAACGATAATAATAATCTCTATTAATTTTCACTTTTATTAATTATATATTTATTAATCATATAACAAATTTTGTTTGGTAATTAATGACGATTTTAAAAACAAATGTAACATTAAAATTAGTTTAAAGCTTCTTGCAGCAAACAACAAAATTAAATGTATTAAAATAAAAAAAGTATGTATGGTATAAAATCTAAAAGTGCAGTCTTAAGGTTCGGTCAGATTTATAAACATAATTATAATCTCACCTTTCTACAAATATAATCTCCAGGTAAAAATAACACAGGTTTCAGTTGAAGCACTAAATCTCTGAGTAGAGCTTTATCACAGTCCTGTTGTTTTCAAGTAAGAGAAAGAAACAAATGAACGGATCAGATCTTTACAGCATTAATGTTTCATTAAATAAGAGACATAAGCTACATTAGTAGATTTCAGAATGACATTTATGAAAAAATGATTATTCTATGATATATTTTCAATGACAAATTACATACATTAAATATATATCAATTCAGTGAATTAACCCTTGCATTGAAATGATATTAAAATTTCGTTTAACTCTCGTCAGTATGCATTAATGGCTGAAAAAACTTATACTTTCCTAAGTTTAATGTATACATAGGTACGACTCAGACCTGTAGAAAATATATGATTAACGTTCGCACCTTTCTACAAAATAAATATTACCACTTGAGCATGTATTAACGACTCCAAAAAAAATGAGTCATATCACTCATGACGAATCATATTTTGTCGTGGTTTCTGAAATTCCATTTTTTACCTCTTAGTGATGAAATCAAGCAAGGTTAGAAGCCTTTGATCTATACCGCATTTATAAAAATCGATATGTGGCCTTTATTTTCGTAACCCCTTTGACCGTAGACATATACTAAAATTACAGCAATGCTTCAAAAAGAAAAATATCCATATTTTCGCCTTTTTAAATTTAAAAATTGACCGAGATATTTTAAAGTTTGAAATCATATTCAGATTTCGGACGGAAATTAAAGCATGAAAAATTTAGATTTTAACATAGCTAAAAATGAAACATCGGTTTAAAGAAAAGGTTTCTGATGTAGTAGATTAAGTAATTTAATTGACATGTTTTGATGAATACAGATTTTTCCAAAAAGAAGATCTTATTCACATAATCGTATTGAATTCAGTTTCTAGAAAACAGAGGCAAGCTTCAATATTAGCATTATTTGTATAATTAGTAACATTATTAGTAACATTATTTGCATGAATCAAAAGAGACGGTATTTGTAATTCAATGAATTTTTTATACGACTACTTTATACGACTATTTTATTATGATTTTAACTGCATGTGAATATTGACTCCTTTTTAGCATTTTGGAGCTTATAAACTACTTGTCTAAAAGTTTTCCGCATACTGAATGTAACAAAATTATAAACTGAATAACGTTATACTCTAATAATTTATAACATGCCATTAAATGACATTAAAGGGAAAAAAATCAACCTCGAATGATTCTAATTTAATTTTTAACCGATGCCTCAGGGAAAACCCGAAAAGATGGCAGAAACCCCCAAATTTTGAAATTTTAATAGCTTGCATTATATATCATACATTTAATAGCATCATATACCTTTATAGACCTTATTTATTGCATTTACTTGCTATGTAAAGTTATATTATGTTAGCAGCTGTGATATAAAATATATATTTAAAACAGTTTATTTCTTGAAATAAATATTAATTGGTATTTTCTGTTAGCGGGACAGGATTAAAAAATGTATGTATGTTGTATGTTGATGTATACAACTACTAGAAAGCCCGGCGGTCATACGAAATGACTGCTGTTCTAGATATTATAAATTGTAATTAAAATGATTTTTGCGAAGGTGTCTGCAAATTCAAACTGAATTACCCAGGTCTGGCGGCGAGGACGTCCCTTTGCTTACTGCCCCACAGGGTTTCCCCCTTCTACTTGCTTAATTGCTTAAAGCAGAGTGCAATGAAGGAAAACACTGGCGGTACATTTCTTAGGAGTTACCGCTAGCTCAATAAATAAAGGTGATTTAAATAATGAAATGTTAATTCACATGTCAAAGATCTCTTTGTACACAACATTTCTTGTGTAGATCTTTCCATCATTTTTAAGCTCGCCTTGCAGAGGACCATCCATTATTTTTAATTTTACGTCCGTTCTTTCACGAACTCTTGAACAGGTAAAAACCGTGTAAAGTTGACCGTGTTCAAATGCAGGCTCAGGTAAAAAAATGCTGACTTATGGATGGTCATAGCAAAGGCAAGGTTTACAGGAAAATGTCTACTTCTCAATTGAAACGGCAACCCTGTGCCGTGGCAACTTCACCCCATTGGCTAGTACAGTTACGCAAGCAACCAATAAACTATCGGCGACAAACAGACACTTAAGACGCATATATATATATATATTAACAAACATGTATATACGTAAAAAAGCAAATTTAAAGGTTAAAATAATTAAAAAAAGTGCAAACATATAAAAGATTTAATTTACGAACAATATCATTAAATTCAGATAGCATAAGTAAATCAAGTGCAAAACCAACCATTAAAATAAATTCACCAATTGAGGAGATCTCCGAAACGGCTGGCTCCCGGGCTTAGCGAAGCACACCGTTGGATTCCGCAGGTCCGTGGCACGGCATTTTGACCATTCGTGTATTCTTGGAACTTTAGTTAGCCGAGATATTAATTAAAAACTAATTTTCTCCTACGTTTTCCCTACATTCTCCACTTTCTTTCTTCGGTTTTCCCTATTAGAGGGATTTGGCTACGTGCCAAATTCTTTTTTCTCAAATATCTACGGAACGGCGCCAAAATGAAATTCGAGACGCATATCCTCTGATTCCAAAAAATTCTCCGAATCCATCGATACCGTTCTCATCTTCGTACAACTTTAATTGGCCGAGATATTATTTAAAAACTTCGGAAACGTTAATTTTCGCGCTGCTTTTTCCGAGTGGCAACAATAAACTATTGGAGACACACACTTTAGCTACTTATATATATAAAGAAGATGTGTGAATGTATGAATGCGTGTGTGTGTATACACGCATATATACATACATTCATTTATTCATACGTACATACATTTCTGAATCCAGTCCCGATAACAGAAAAGTACTTATTAAATATATGGTTTTATACTTAAAAGACAACTTTGAACTTATAAACATTTTTTTTCTGTTTTCTTGAAATGCATATTTTGTGTATTACAAGGACCGAGTAAAAAATCTTCTGGATTTACAGATTTTTCTACAAATAGAAATCAGACTCACAATTAATTTTTTAAGTCTTCTGCAAACACAAATCAGATTCAACATTTAACTCAACAGTTAAAGCTTAATTTTTAAGGAAGCTCGTGCTTATTGTGTGTTAAAATAAGATGATGAAGCAATTTGTTTCTCTGGAAATGGCAGTGCTAAAGTAAATGACAGTATTAAAATAAAATGTACTATTACACTCTGACATTGTCTTACTTAGGAGAGTTGCTACGAACATGCTATTATACGGTGCATATATCCACTCGGAGATCTATATGTCTCCAATAATGTCTTTAGCATCGGATTATGTCAATGACATTAATTTGGAGTCGATGACATCACGTATTCGTGAATTATGATGCAGGAAGCAAGGATCGCAATACGCTTTCGCAGATGGAGCGAAGTTTTGTAGACATTTCACATTTGTTGTGTCTGTTTGGAAATATTCAGCGAAAATATCGATTACACGCTGAGGGTATAGTTAGTTTTTCATTCTTCATGACGTTAAAAGGCCTTTCGACTAAAAATATGCTTTTACAACTTTTTACAAATACGCATTCGTAAAAGCATTTTTTTAGAAATGTTCAGCGAAAATATCGATTTCAAGTCTAGAGTACAGTTAATTTCTCATGTTTTATGTCTCACAAAATTTAAATGACTCCACAGGTGGCACTCGATTAAAAGTGGAAGGGTGGTAATTAGTTCCCACCTGAATTTGGATGAACGGATCTTCTTCCTCCCCAACTGCTCATACCACGTCTGCCTGACAATCGGAAGATCCGGAAAAGGAATTTCAGCAAGGGTACGGCCAATTTTTATTGTTTCTTGCATCGAAAAGCCTTACAAACTTTACGGAATCACACTTCGTCATGTCTGTAATCGAATGAAATTCTTGATTAATTACGGAAATAAATCAACAATGTTTAATCTCAGTTCCTCAAGACCATATTTGCAGACTGTTATGACACAATGCCACACTGTTTGTCATTCGTGACGGTGCAACCCCTTACTGAGGTATTTACATCGTACTACATTATCTTATTTTGTAAACAGTGTACGTGGTTGAAAATAAAATTTAAGGTAAATCCTTATGTATTCATAATTACGTGCTCCAGACTACTCCTACATCCGCAGTTCTTCAAGCTGGAACAATTTCACTGTTGAACAGCACAGCTGACAGAAAAAAAAATGAATTCTTCCTTACGGAAACCTCTATTTGACTTGACGCATAATAAATTTATTGAGATTTCAAAATAAAATGTTAAATTTTAAACTGTATGGAAATAATACATATATTTGATTAACACATGCCTACCGAAGCGGTCATTCGATTTAAAGCGTTAGTAAGACATTTAAAAATTTATTTCATTTATCGAAAACTGAAAATATGACTGAGAAAAATGTGACTTTAGTCCTTAAATAATATGCATTTTTAATAGGCCAAAAACTTCTACGAATTGAGTCATTTAAGTTTAAGCACAGTATGATAATCAAATCATTATTACCTACCTTAAATAGCTGCACTTTGACTAATGTATTATAATGGACATTAATGGCAACGTCGGTTTTCATTTTCCTGGGTAACGAATCTAAAATTCCACTTTCATCTAAAAGATTAAAGAATGAAAATTCAATTAGGTTTTGAATTTTTATTAATAAAATGTGTACTTAACTTAGAAATAATGCATAAAAAGTTTTGAAAATATAACAACAATATTGTTGCATGCGTAAGGGCTCATAATGGATTGAATGCACACAGAACTGATGATGGCTTGATAATACTTATTTTACCAAAAGAGACACTACAGTTATGGAACTTTCCACTAGAAACTACTAAACGTTAAAGACAATGGAATGCAAAGCGCATCTAAAAGGCGAAGCTTTCATGGATATCTCAATACTCCGAATTCAGCTGTGGACTAGCAACTCCGAAACTTTGATGCTTGCGTAATTACGCAAAGCAGTAGCAAAGCAGAAAATTATGTAGAAGTCCAGGTTAATGAGAATAGATCAGGAGTCTTATGAATTCTTAAATTTCTGATCACGTGAGATGTTCAGGCAATCAGGAATGATGAAACTAGTAATAAACAAAATGAAGTTTGAAGTACGTAATTCGGCATAATAAAGTAATAAAAGTAAGTTGCAAAGGCAAGAAATTATGCACAAGTCCAGATTAATGAAAATAGATCAGCAGTCACTTGAATTCTTAAAATTTCGATTACGTGAGATGACTCCAGTAAGTAATACTTTGTAAGGGAGGTCCTTAAGGTCATAACAATCACATCTGCATTTTGGAACACACAATACGTCACATTAAAACAATAAAAGAAAGTTGCAAGCCGAAAAATATACGCAAGTCCAGATGAATTTATCGGTCTCACATTTGGGGTGATAGCATTGGTGGTTAAGACATAAGAATGTTATTCGTACAACACACATGGTAAGTAAGAAATAGAAGAATAATTGTTATATACAGTTACTGAGATGCTGGTGAAAATGAAAATTCGTGAAGATGGTATAGAAAATCCAGAATCTGAAAGACAGTAATACATTAGATAAGAGACAGGTGCTTCCTGAAACCTTAAAGTTCAGATCACGTGTGGTGATCAGCCAATCAAGGATAACACACAGTCAATATTTAATGCAAACTAATTCAATACTCCATAAATAACCATAAATGCGTTTTCTAAAAAACGCATATGAGATTAATACAATTTAAGTAGGAAGAAAAATTTGTTGCATACAAGTTCAGATACATTTTTGTTTGCATCACATCTGGGGTGAGAGAATGTGCGAAGTCGTAGCCGGGATGATTAAAAAATTTGAAAACGAATCTTTCACTAAACGCACATTATAAAAGCAAACATGAAACTCTGAAACTGATGCTCTCTCTCCGGTCTTTACTTTCTCCCGGCGGCCGAGAAATCTCTTGTACTTTCCATTTCTCGAAATTACTTGAAAGCATATGAGGGCCGGACACGATTACAATAAATAGATTACTTACATTTATTCAATCACGATACCAATTACCGTTATTCATGGACAGGACTAAAATGTTGCCAAATGGTCGCCAACGCCAAATTTGGCGAAAAAATTAGTCATTAAAAAGCGCCAGCTTGGCGATATCTCGCGAGTTTAGCGAGATAGCCATTTTACTCAATGTTAAATAGACTTGCCTTCGTATTCTTATTTTTCCTGCAAAGCTTCGCCTCTTCAGGTTTTCATGTTACATTTCACAAAATATACTACAGTTTTACATATAATTTCAATAAAAGTTTTTACATATATACAAAATTCGTAACAGTGTCCCTCTTTCCAAGGAGGGCACGTCTCACGCAGTACAGCGGACAGGAAGCCGTATTTACATCTAAGGGAATCAATCCAATACTAAAACATTAATAAATGACATAAAGCAAACAAATAATAATTTATATCCTAAGATATGTCACTCAAAATAGAATTGAAAAATTCATTCAAATCGCATTAGTTAAAACATTTTATGTAATTTTGGTTTTTTATTTTCATTTCTAAAGATGAATTATTAAAACATTTTATAAATAAATGTTTCATATAAAATTAGTAAAATAGTTTAAGTTATATGGTTTTAGTTAAATACTTTAAAAAATAATTTTTAGATGTAATAGTATTCTTGCTTATTCTTTATTATATGACTAGAAATAAAACAAGGGGCTGGTATTCAATATTTATTTTTATTTAATTATTTAATTACAAATGCTTAACTACTAGCATTTAATTCATAGACTTTCCATATTATCACTTTTCTATTAGTCCTTGAAATTATGTTCAAGTTCTAATAGAATTCGTATACTATGATCCCATGATTAAATGAAACTGTGGGGCTGCTATAATAACGGCAAATTTTAAATGAAAATTAACAAACAGTAATTTATTTAAATTGACTAGTATTTTATTATATTGTATGTCATTTCAGTACTATAATTTCAATTGTTTTCTGAAATACTGGAATGTAGTTTCAAAGCTGAGGAATATATACAAGTAGTTGCAAAGCTGAAGAATATAATATATTTTGTAAGTGGGAGTCCCACGATTTTTAAATTACGAGCAAAAATATTTTGAAAGTTTACAAAAAATATTTTACAATTAATTTTAACTGAAACCGTATCAAAAGGGATTTTCCTATGTTCTGTTTTATACATTTAATCTATAAAATGCGGAAAAGTGAGAAATCCTGCTTTTGAACACAGAGAAAGAACTCTTTCTAGTCTGTGGTAAGGTTGCATCAAATTCCTTTAAATTTCCGTTTGAATTAGATATGCGATCTTTCAAACCAAGGAAGGAATAGATTTTGATTTAAAATTCGATATTACTGGAAACTACATAGTAGCTAAACTTACCAAAATAGTTTTATAAAAGCGCCAAAATTCTAGAAATTGCTTTAAAATCCCGAAAAACGTTCATTAGAAAGATTATTGTTTGTCGATTCCATGCTGAAAAGATCAAGTGCTTACGAAAATGAGTTCGACTGTTAACGAATAACTTGTGAAAAAAATTCAACGCTAAATCTAAATATGTACACCAACTTTTCCTAAAATTCCTGAAAAATACTGTACTTTTTTGCAAATATATTTGGACTTATAATGTCAAGAAAACTGGGTAAGTAAAAAAGAGATTAAAATTTAATTTCCCGAAAAATAAACTGGACTAACAATAAACAAATAGATAAATAAAAATAAATGAAATAGAGTAAAAAATTTTGTGCAATAAAAAATAATTATTCTTTCTTAAAATATTATTCAATAAAATACGTCGAATAATCGAAAATTTATTACAAGCATGGAAGCTAAAATGCTAAAAAGATTTCGGAAAATTCGTCAAAAACGTCAAATGTTAATGAAAGAAGTCTACAAGTACCTAGGAAAGAGATAAGAGAAATGAAGCTAACACAACAAGTATCTTTTGCATCTAAGGTAAAAATAAACTTCCTACCTCCATGAGTTCTTGCCATTCATTAACGGGGAGGTCATTTTATGACTTATCCATCACACTAAGGCAAAGCACACATACTGCCCTAGGTTGGTCCATCTTAGAGCGGTTTCAGAAAAGAAAAGGGATATTTTTGGAAGGATTTGTAAACTAACAACATGGTCATTTTCAAAGCATTTCGTTCGGAGGGGTAAGGCCGTGAATGGGTTAAATCAAGTATCATAAACCACTTACTTCCAGAAAGTGTGTCTACAATGTCGCCAGTTTTAGGAATAGGTAGGTGTCTTTCTTCGTAACATCGTCTAACCAGCGACAGTCAATGCAAAATCTAGTTGAACTGTCTTTTTTTCTGACCAGGACGTGGGACAGGCCCAAGGACTTGCCTGAAAGCTCAATAACATCGTTTTCTTGCATGTCCTTTAGAAGTTTTTCTGCCTTTTCCTGTTTAGCAGTCGGTAGACGCCTTGGATGTTGCTTGATCTCCTGTATCAATCCTGTGTTGAACTGGTCCGAGATATGTCAGAAGATGAGCTGGAGAATACACCTTCGACATTTTCTATGACACGTTCGGCAGCACTCTTTTCTTCATCGGTTAGTTGTGCATTCTGCAATAAATCCGATATTAGGCTCTCCGAAGCCACAGATATTGGCGGACTATTGTGGCGTTTCATACAGGTCACTGGTGTACATGCTGCAACTACTTTGCCTTTCCTAATGATTTTCACTTTATCACTGATGTTAGCAACTCTCACCGGGATGCCGGTTCTAGAAAGTCGATGTGTGCCGAGACTACTGGCGGGTACTCTTGGCGGGGTGTTACAGTTCTTGAGATATCTCATTATACACCGGAAATTTCTATTTTCGGCTATGGATCCAGATATTAAAATTTCTGTTCTTGCTGGTACTGTGATATCATCCTAAGCTATGATTTGGTGGACGGATTTAAGTCCTTCATCGTTATTCCGAATAGGTTTATATTCTCAGAAGCAGAATGCAATTAGTTATTCCAAGGAAAATTATATTTTAGTAGAAAGTCTAATTCGAGTAAGCAAGGGTTTGTAATATCTGCCACCTATGCCGTATGATGATAGGCGGCACTTCCAAACGTGATGTTAACGTTTAATTTTCCGATTCAATTTTATCACTGGACACAATCTAGAGGTAACGCAGGGCCGCGTCAGGCCGAGTTTAGATTCCAGCTGTTGAGCTTTCCGGATGATAATATTGTCTTCAGTACTGATGATCATATTTCAAGGAATCTATTGATATGTCCCTTGATGAAAGGTCTACTACAGCCGTCACTCAGTATAGAAATCTTAAATGCTTTAAAATGGGGCTTCTCAATATCTGGCAAACTGAGCTCCCCGCGATGTCTACTAATTTGTTTTCTGCGTCCTTGCTGGGAAGCGGTCTTATTTTCTGTGCCTTGGAGTGTTCTGAAGATCCTTCGTACGTGGCCTTCATCACTTCAGATCCAACATTTTAGGGTCGTTTTTCGCCAGTTCTGTTCCGCGTCAAGGCACTGACGTGCTTGATTAAAGGCGAGCAGTTAGTCGATCCACTGGCTCCTGGACATGAGCAGTTTTGACTGGGTGACGGTCATTAGGAACTGCTGGCTGGGCTGCCTCGAATTTTATGGTGTACACTAAAGCGCTTTTTATATCATTGATATCCGCCGTTTGTTGGGTTTTCTGTTTCTCAGGAACCTTGGTGCCATCGAAGAGAAGTACTGCAGAAATGGGATTTCCTTTTTTCTGATGGCGAAAAGTTTCTGAGTTCAAAAAGATGATGAGACAGCCTTTCTTGAAGTGTTTCCGTAGGCTTCTGTTAACGAGGTTTTAACTGAAGCATGATACAGTCTTTTAAGCACTTCTCGCCAAAACGCAGCTCCAACTCGCCGGATACAGCTTGGAAATCTAACCTCTGATTTTAGGGAAGAGTTAGAAGGATATCCGCTGCATCTGCTTTTAAAGAAGCGACGATATGGCAGGCTTTAGCTTCGGAATCCCATCCATTTCGGTTTGCCATTTGCGTCTTGTACATTTTCCAGGAGGATAGCGTATGAGGATAGCTTTAGAGGGGGTCGCGATGAAATATATTCGAATTTAAAGGCGTTAGAATTGTGACCAGCTGTCACAATGGATTTTTCAAATAGTTAACTTTCTTGGCGACAGCAGCAGAAACTCTGTCATCAGTTTGTTCTTCGGCAGAAGAAACTCTTGCTTCGATTTGTTGTTGGATAGCAAATCCCTTTCTTGAATTTCTGCAACTTTATCTTTAACCGTGTCTATTCTGGCTTCTATAGCCTCGAATTTGCTTTCTGTTATGGAAGCAATTCCTCTTTCCATTTCCTCTTAATCTGCTTTCATTTCACCTTTAATAGCTTCCAAATCTTCTTTAACGGAGTACGTCCTCTTTCAAATTTTTGGTCCGCTTTTATCTCTTTTTTTTTAATAGACCAGCTCTCTTAATTGGTTCTCCATCGTTCTTCTCACTGGCATTCAATCTCATTTCCGACACCGGAAATTGTTGCGTGCGTACGTATTTGTAATGGGTTGAATGCCCACAGAACTGATGATAGATTGATAAAATTTATTTCACGGAAAGGAACACTTTACAGATCTGGAACTTTTCAAAAAAATAGCCGTAAAGATCATATAATTATCACAGAGCACAATCAGTACTTTAACTTGAAATTACTAAGAACGTTACACTAACGCAATGCAAAGAGCATCTAAAGAGCGAAACTAACATGAAGATATTTCAATACTCTAATTCAGCTTTGAATTACAAAATGCGAAATTGATGCTCTCTCTGGTCATATATAGTTTTGCCCCGGCCACCGAGAAATCTCTGTTACTTTTCACTTTTCCAAATTACTGGAAGGCATATGAAGGTCGGATACGTTACAGTTACACATAATAGATTAATTATATTGATTCAATCACAATACCAATTACATATAAACTGAACCGGAACAAAATGTCACCATATGGTTGACAAGTTTGGCGGCGAAAATGTGTCGCCAAAACCATCACTAGCTTGGCTAAGATTTAGATGTCTCGATTTAGCCATTTACCCAGTGTCAAATAGACTTCCCTATCCTTCGCCTCTTCAGATTTTGTATTATATTATACAAAATATACCACACTAAAATATAATTTCACTAAATTTATTTATATATACACAAAATTCATAACAATATAAATGTGTGTATCTTTAAACCTCGAAAATAATGTATTTAAAAGCTGTGACTATCAATACTTTTTGAATAATAAATAAATGTAACACAATTCATTTCGGGCGAAAAGATTTTTGTTTTTCTCAAATATGTCTTTGGATTTTAAAATATTGCTGAAATGAATTATTTAAGAGGATGAATATCGAAAGGTGTAAATGCGCACGAACAAAAAAGGAATTGCAGTCTTAGTGCAATGTGCTTCGTTTATTAGAATAAAACAATGGCTGAAAGGAAAGAAATCATGATATGAAGTTTAATTTGTGGATCGGAATAAGCGGTTACCTAGCATGCTTTAGGCCAGTGGTCTTCAAACTAGGGATCGCAACCTAGTTTGGAGTCGAAAGGTTGCTGAAAAACTGTATAACAGTCATCCAAACATATTATAAAATACATATTCCTAAGAATTTGGGTTCGTAGTATGGCCTGAGTCCTAAAATGGAGTCGCGATCCTAAAACGTTTGAGAGTTACTGGTTTAGACGGATATATTTCATGGATGCTATCTTGAGATATAATGTGGTAGTTGGTTGACCAGTTTTTTAACATTCTGAAGTGGGCATAAATACAAACACACTCGATCAGAGAGACTGGAAAAGTATCGGCAGACGGAGACGTACTACACTGTGTAATATATGACTGTTTAGTTCAAAATGGCCTATAGATGCTGTATTAAAAATGGTAAGAAAATCAATTGCAAAATATCGTCGATATAATAATAAGATATAATATAATATGAGGTAGTACGGAGGACTACTGCAGCGGTTTGAGTTTCGTAGGAAGCGTCTCACTAAGGTGTCAGCCACACAATCAGTCAATGTAGAACCTAAGACATTTAACAGTAACGGCAGATTTCATAACTGACATATGCCTTCAGGCAATCTCATATTAATAAATGCTGCTAAAGTTTGATAATGGCGGCAGCGATATTCTGTTGTCACTGTTAGGCAAACTAAATGAACTCCTGAAATGCAGTGATGTTCGGGAATTTCTTTCTTAACGGTTAGGAAGGATACCTGTTCCTTATCTGTAGGCGACGTCATGCTGTTATGGATGATTTAAAAGCAAAATAATTGTGCTATTTTTACTGTTTTCAACAAGCATTTATCAGGACAATGGTTTTCTTAAAATACTGAAACTGCATGGTTTGTCTAAAATACTGAAAAAAAACTATGCCTAAAAAGTTTATTTTTTTTTCTATTGTACAGTAAACCGTATACATAGCCACCACATTTTGGCATTATTATTTCGCATATATTCCCAAGGTAATGTAAAACAGCAAATTTCAGTTTTAGTTTGTGATAAAAGAATGATACAAAATGCCTATTACCACTATTCAAGATTTATAGGCCTTTATTCCAAGAAGAATTTAAGTAGTTTTAGATGCAAAATATATTACTACATTATAGCAGGTGCACAAATCATCATTTTTGGACGGTTCTATCATTTAGAGAACCTTTGTATAGCTTCCCTAGCAGCCAATTATGTGAAAGTTGCATTATTGTAACTTTCATTATCCTTTAACTTCAACAATGTTGTACCCTAAAAGTACTACAATGATATACATGTGCTGATTGGTAGGTCCTTTTAAGAAATCGACACTTTTTCAGCCCAATGATACGTGTTTCTCTGTCTTACTTAAGTCCTTGTTCGGATTATGCAAAATCCAATTTCGATGCATTTTTATAGTCCATATGCTTTCTCGCAATCCAGATTGTCAATCTAGTTTTCAATCGCAGTCCAGTTCCCAATACTGTTGCACTTAAATTTCAGCTCTGCTTTCTTCGAAGTGCTTTTCTATGTGCTGTGGTGGGTCTTTATTTGATCGTTGATATTGACTTTGCTTATGTTCGAACCTAAAACATCAGACTGTGATATTTCATGTAGGCCAGAGGTTCTCAACCGGTGGTACGCAAGAGAAAAATAAGTGGTACGCAGATAAGCAAAGTATTTTTAACTATTAAATTCAAAAATTAAAAACCCCAACATCCTGATTCTCAACATCCTGGTTTTTTTCTCTAACACTCGTAAATTTAAGCGATCTGAGTTTTGTTCAAGAGTGGTGGTGGTAGTAGTACTTGTAGTGGTGGTACTTGAAGGTTTTCAATTTTTGTTTAGATGGTACGCGTTAGTCAAAAGGTTGAGAACCGCTGATGTAGGATATACTCATTATAAAAATGTGTTATTTTTTCTCTTCGTTTTTATTAAATAATGTATATTTAAGAAAGTTACATTATAGAGTGTAAATTTTGTTAGTGCGTTTCAGATTTGTCAATTTTCTTGTTTCGTAACATCTGAAAAGTTCATGTTGTATTGCTTTCTATTAGGAAAGTTACATGAATATTTTGAATAGCTGTTGAATTTTTATGATTTCACGAATGTTCTTTAATATGTCGGATAGGTTAGGAAAATTTCAGTATTATATGTAATATATTAATTATTGGCACATTTAAATGTAAAATATAATTCTTGATCGTGCTTACTTAGCGTCTTTTGCTGTTCCCACGTATGGTTGAGCCACAATCTAACTCTACGTTGTAAATCATCTGGCAAATTAAGATTCCTCATATACATCACAGTTTGATCCATCAATTGACGGTACTGAGTTCGACTTTGAGTCGCTGTAGCTACAATATCACGAATCTAAAATTTAAAAAAAATGTGCTATTTAAAAAATATAATGAAATTTTACATATTAAAATGTTGATGAATTAAATAGTAATAATAAATTAGCAAGATATACATTAAATCTTCGAAAAATACTTTTTTAGTGAGTGTAGCAGAAAGTAAATTAGGAGATGGAAGAAAGTCGTTGATTAGAATTAACGGCTCTGTGATAAATACATATTTGCTGCTATTTCCATAGGAATTGTCATAAACTTTCATTTGAAACATTATAATAATCAGTTTAATGTATAAAATACACTTATTGCATAAAATGTCAGGGATTAGAAACGTTGGTCAATAATAAGTTCTTAGAATAACGTTTCAACCAAAAGTTACTTTAGAAATAACTTTCAGTGGTATGATGTGATAAGATGGTTACTTTGCATGAAGTCTGTGTGATATGATAAAGAGGTGAATGAAATTACGTTGATTCACATTTCATAACTGAAAGAGTTTCTTAAATCTAAACTAAGAAAATTATTTTACATCAAATGTTTCAGTGGTTATATTGTAAAGATTCTGTACTGTGTACTTAAAGTTACCGTTGAATGTGAAGACTCTTAAGAAATGAAAAGCGAATAATCGCTTGAGTTGGTGTGACAGGAAACAACAAGATAGAACTGTAAAATAACCCTTTATTATTCCAATCAAGTGTAACAGAACTCCGTCTTGGAGTTGTACAATAAAGCCGACACTCGGGCTTGAACTTAAGAGACTAAGAACTAAACTAAACTAATCTTAACTAAAAATATATAGCCGAAGCTAACAAGATTCTAAAGGGGTTGGCCCATTAACGCTAATTGACTGCGAAGCTATCAAGGGCCTAAAGTACGGCCGAGCGTAATGCTTAAAAGAGAGTGGCATAAAAAGGCGGTCGCGTGCTAACCAGAATCTCTGGTTCTCTCTGACTAAGCAGAACTTCGCGGTTAAATACCGCTCTTCCTCAGTTTGCATTCAAACGTGATTCTAAAACTACATTCTGGCCGGAAGTGGTAAGTTGAAATTAAGAAGCGATAGGAAAGGAAGTTTAACTCAAAATTTAACTGTTAATAAAATTAACATAATCCTTATGTTCACTTCCACGCCTATCGAATTAATTTCCACCTTTTCGTTGCCCTGCGTTGGCAACACGCTTTTGAGATTTGTCGTTCGTAGAATTCGGTCGCTTATGCGTAGCTGACCTGTAACGGTTGTAATTCCTATTTTATAGCTTATCTGTACTGTTGAATTATTACTAAATGTTTATGTGTGAATGTTTTATTATTAAATGTATTCAGTTTAGTTTAAATAGACCGAGAGTGACTGAATTTATTAAGTATATTTAAAGTCGAAACTGCGTCATCCATTTCGGCGCCATTCTAACACAGGAACGTAAACAAATTACTGGAGGCACGGGCGAGATTGGGAATTCGTCAGCAGTTCAAGTACAGATAAGTGCTTGAAAAAAAAAAAAAAAAAAAAAAAAAAAAAAAAAAAAAAATTAAAAAAAAAAAAAAAAAAAAAAAAAAAAAAAAAAAAATAAAAAAAATTTTCAAAAAAAAAAAAAAACAAAAAAAAAAAAAAAAAAAAAAAAAAAAAAAAAAAAAAAAAAAAAAAAAAAAAAAAAAAAAAATTCGATTTACATCTGATTTGATTCTTGAAGTTTTATATATATTTTGTATTGATTTTCATTTTGAACTTGAATACTTCGATTACTTATTATGGATCAAGCTACTGTCATTAGATTGCGTGGTAGGGCAAAGGCGGCCTTCACAAGGCTTCAGCATACTATTTCTTCCGATTTATCTAAAAATGAAATAATTTTGCATTTGGAGCGCTTGGAAAGGATTTTTTCAGATTTTGATAAATTTGATGCCCAATTACCAGAAGAGCAGTCAGAAATTGAAGATTTTGAATCGAAGTATTTTAGTTTGAAACTTCAATATCAAAATTTATTAGATGTATTGAATGTGGCTAATGTGCCAAATGTTTCTGAAAATTCTAAAATTAGTAACTTTAAGTTACCTAAGTTGAATATTCCTATTTTTTCGGGTAACTTTAATGACTGGATGAATTTTAAAGATTTATTTGTTGCAACAGTACATAGTACTTCTTTATCGAATATACAGAAATTTCAGTATTCAATCGGATCACTTGCTGATGAACCAGCTTCTATAATTAAACATATTCCGTTATCAAATAATTCTTAAGAAGAAGCATGGGCAAAATTGCTCGCTAGGTACGATAAAAAGAAGCAAATAGTACAATCGTTATTTAAAACATTTCTGGATCAAAAATGTATTTCACAGGTTGACAATGTTAATTTGCGGCAATTAGCTGATACTTTAGATGAAGTTATCAGAGGTTTGAAAGCTCTTGGTGACAAACGAACTTCTAGGGATCCATGGTTAATATTTATGTTGTTTCAAAAGGTAGATTCAGAAACTCGAAAGTTATGGGCACAGAAAACAGCGGAAGATGATTTCCTTACACTGGAATCATTTTTTGAATTTTTAAATTTAAGGTGTTCTTCTCTCGAAATTATTATAAACGAAGAAGCGGAAGCTAAAGTCGTTTATTCATAAAAATAGTAATGTTGGTTCTAAAACGTTACAGAATTCTAAATTTAGTAATACTAAATGTTAGAAATGTAACGGACTTCATGCTTTATATAAATGCGTTAAATTTAAGAATTTGGATGTTACTGCTAGAAAGAACTTTGTGAATAAACGAGGATTGTGTTTTTTATGTTTAAATTCACATATAATCAAGAACTGTAATTCACAGTTAAAGAGTAATTTGTGTAATTAAAAAACGCATAATAATTTGTTGCATGAAGATATTAAAGCTAACAACGTCCAGCTTTTAACAGCGCCAAATGAAAACGAAACCATTCCAGAGAGAATTTCGAGTGAATCATGCGAGGGTCAAGGTCAGGTAGTTATCAGTAATACGACTCAAAATTGCAATTTGGCGATTTTGCCTACGGTTCTCGCACTCGCATTTTCGTCCAGTGGCGAAACTATCGAAATTAAATTATTACTGGATGCCGGAAGTGAAAGTTCGTTTATTTCTGAACGAGCTGTTCGAAGATTAGGATTAAAAAGAACAAATCAAAGGTTACTTTTACGTCGAATTGGCGGAGTGCCAGCTTCCAAGACTCGTGGTTCTGTTGATTTTAAGATTAAATCAAAGTTAAGTAATGAAATAATTGATATTAACGTATACATTTTGGATAGGTTGACTTTGCCATTGCCGGAACAAGTCATTAATGTAAAGCATATAGAATACATTAAATCTATTCCGTTAGCGGATCCGAATTTCGCTCAACCCAAAGAAATTGATTTGATTTTAGGAGCTGATTATTTTTTCTCCGTTTTAAGATGTGGCCAAATATATGGTTCGAAAAATGAGACTGTAGCTCAAAATACAATTTTCGGTTGGGTGATTGCTGGGAAGGTCGGAACTAAAATGGAAGGCCAAAAAACAGGAAATTCACTCTTAATAAAGCTAGAAGATAATATAAATATTGATTACGAACTTAAGCGTTTCTGGGAAATGGAGGATATTGTCGATGTTGGGAAGAAGGAATTTCTGACACCCGAGGAACAATTTTGTGAATCACATTTTCAAAACACACATTCTGTTAATTCAGATGGGCGATTTGTTGTAAAACTTCCATTCTATAAATCGCATTTGCAGTTGGGTGATTCAAAACCGGCAGCAATTTCTAGGTTGCGTTCCATGAAAAGAAAATTCAAAGATAATCCGGAATTTGAGAAACAGTATAAAGGTTTTATACATGAATATGAACAGTTAGGACATATGACTGTGATTAATGATAATTTATCTAACAGATCGGATACAGAAAAGTTTTATCTTCCTCATCATGCTGTCATTAAACCTTCTAGCACAACGAGAAAATTAAGAATAGTTTTTGATGCATCCTGTAAATCTGAAAACGGTATATCATTGAATTTTCTTTTAGGGATAGGTCCGAAATTGCAAAGAGATATTTTTGAGATTTTGATTAATTTTCGATTTCCTAAAATTGTTTTCACAGCCGATGTGGAGAAGATGTATCGTCAGGTGATGGTAGCCCCTGAAGATCAGAATTATCAATTGATACTTTGGCGATACAATTCCAGCCATGATAAAATGCGCACGTACAAGTTGAAAACAGTTACGTATGGTCTTTCCTCTGCTTCATTTTTAGCAAACTCGATGTCTGAAGCAGGATAGCTTTAGATTCTAAAGAGGAATCAGATGTATCTCGTATATTGCAAGAGGATATGTATATGGACGACTTATTGTCGGGTGCAAATACAGTTGATGATGCAGTATCCTGTCTGCAAGAAAGTATCTTCAATTTTACATGCACGTGCTTTTGATTTGAGGAAGTGGAATTCAAATTCTGTAGAATTCTTAACTGAATTTAAGGAACATTGTTCATTGAATTCTGATTTCGAGATATCTCCTAATTCGAGTTTGAAAAGTCTTAGGACTTTTTTGGAATTCAACTACTGATACTTTCAGTTTTAAAGCTACACTGCACATCAACGCACCTATAACAAAGAGACGCATATTGGCAGAATCTGCTCGCATTTTCGATCCTTTAGGTCTCTTATCTCCTTGCACTATATTGATTAAAATATTCTATCAAAACTATGGTTAGTTAAAGGCGACTGGGATTCAGTTGTTCCCCAGCATATCTCAGATGATTGGTTTAAATTTCAAGAGACATTCAGTCAAATCAATAATTGTGAAATTCCGAGATGTGTCATACTTACAACGGACAGTGTTATCCAACTACATGGATTTTCTGATGCATCTTCGCAGGCCTATGCAGCAGCCATTTACTGTCGCCAAAAATGCAATGGTACGGTTAAGGTTAATCTTTTGGTATCAAAGACTAAAGTCGCGCCTATAAAGCAAGTATCCATTCCTCGATTAGAACTCTGTGCTGCGTATTTGTTGACCAGATTAATGCGATCTCTATTGAACATTTTAAAGAAGTTTAATTTTGAAATCTATGCGTGGACGGATTCCAAGGTAGTTCTGTCTTGGCTATCCGCTCATCCACGTAAGTGGAAAACTTTTGTGGCAAACAGAACATCTCAAATCATAGAAGTGATACCTATTAAACATTGGAATCATGTTCTCTCTAAACAGCAACTCCTACCGAATTGTGCTTTGTGGTGGAATGGTTCACCATGGTTGCGTCAGGAAGAGGAAAAATGGACTAAATATAAATTAAGATCTGAAGATGATACTGAAGTAAAAGCCGAACAAAGATCTGATCCTATTTTTATTTCTCATATACTTGAATCGAATGATTTATTAGCTAATTTGTTCGAGCATTATTCTTCTCGTTGTAAAATTGTTTGTATTCTGGCTTACTGCCAAAGATTTATTACTAATTGCAAGAAGCATCATGTTTCTCAGAACATTTCACGTAGTGGTATTAACTCCAGCTGCCTTATGCCGCTAACATTTCTAGAGATTCGAGTAGCAGAAAAAAGTTCATTATTCGTTGGATTCAGAATCATATTTCAAAGATGATTTACAATGTATTAAAGGAAGAGAAACCTTTACCCAAGAAGAGCCAACTACGTTCTTGTATCCATTCGTAGATAAAGATGGTCTCTTACGGGTGGGAGGACGTCTTCGAAATTCATCTTTAGCATTTAACATCAAACACCCTGTCATACTTCCTTCTCGACATAAATTTAGCGAATTACTAGTGAAAGAACTTCATATTTCTTACCTTCATGCTGGTCCTTCTTTATTATCACACCTCATCAGGCAATCTTACTGGATAATTGGAGGGAAGAAACTGATACGCAGTTGTGTCAACCATTGCTTAATATGTCATCGATTTAAAGCTGCTTCAAATCCGCAATTGATGGGTGACTTACCTGAACATCGTGTGACTTTGGAACGACCTTTTTTACGCATCTGGTGTGGATTACGCTGGTCTCTATTACCATGAAATTTAATAAGGGTCGTGGTTCTAAAACAACGAAAGGCTATATAGCTCTGTTTGTTTGCTTGTCGACTAAAGCTGTGCATATAGAAGCAGTCAGTGACCTGACGGCAGACTCGTTTATCGCTGCACTTAGACGTTTCATTTCACGTCGCGGTGCACCACGGCACATTTACAGTGACAACGGTACCAATTTTGTGGGAGCATGCCGAAAACTACAAGAACTAAATCAGATTTGGTCTTCCTTGTATGCAACAGAATCGGTTTCCCGAGAACTAACTAAGTCATCTATTGAATGGCATTTTATACCGCCTGCTTCGCCCCACTTCGGAGGAATATGGGAAGCCGGCATTCGCGCAGCGAAATTTCATCTGAGAAGAGTATTGAAAGAGACTCTTTTAACCTACGAAGAGTTGTCAACGCTACTTACCCAGATCGAGGCTATTTTGAATCTACGTCCACTTACTTACGTGAACGATACTGATATTGACTTTATTAATGTTTTAACCCCTTCTCATTTTATTACAGGTGATACTTTGACTTCCTTTCCAGAGACACATCAGTCTGTTCGCACAAGGAGTTCTAGGTGGGAACTTGTACAGAATCTACGTCGCGGATTTTCGAATCGCTGGAAAAGGGAGTACTTGACTTTTCTTCAGCAGAGATCTAAGTGGCAACACACTAAACACAACTTGAAGGTCGACACGGTGGTTCTTGTCAGCGAAGATGGATCTCCACCTTAGCTTGGCTATAGGACGGATCATCGATGTCCATCCGGGCAAGGACGGCTTAGTTCGCGTAGCCTACAGTCAAAACTAAAACTGGTGTCTTCAAAAGACCAATTAATAAACTTTCACCTTTGCCTGTGTATCAGGACTAAACCTGATAGGGTGGGAGTATGTTCACTTCCACGCCTATCGAATTAATTTCCACCTTTTCGTTGCCCTGCGTTGGCAACACGCTTTTGAGATTTGTCGTTCGTAGAATTCGGTCGCTAAAGCGTAGCTGGCCTGTAACGGTTGTAATTCTTATTTTATAGCTTATCTGTACTGTTGAATTATTACTAAATGTTTACGTGTGAATGTTTTATTATTAAATGTATTCAATTTGGTTTAAATAGACCGAGAATGACTGAATTCATTAAGTATATTTAAAGTCGAAACTGCATCATCCATTTCGGCGCCTTTCTAACACAGGAACGTAAACACCTTACAATATGATGTAATCAGTCTGGATGAATCAAGAAGATAGATGAGATTAACAAATATTTTAAAGTCTAAATGTCTATACTTAACTTGAGATTTAAGAAAGTTCACTTTAGCTGAAAGAATTGAATTTTTTGGAGGTATGTATAATCGTTACTTTATTCTAGTCACTATAAAAGTTTGCATCTTGAAAATGCATGGGAAAAAATTCTTAGCTATTTAAAAAGAGTGACATTTTGTGCTCACTTCTTAGTTAATTTTTGATTTAAAAATTAATGGCTCATATTTACAGTGCCACTATGTTGAGTATAAGACTTGGAAAAGATAGCGAAAGTTTCGTTTTCTGGATCGTAGTAACTGAACGTCTCCCCACCATTCGAAAATGAGCGGCTCTTGATGAATGCTTCTAAAAGCATTAGTGTTGTCAAAGTATAAAAAGTAATTAATGATGTCAAAGTATTAATACCTGTCCAATGAGAAAGGCGAAGATAAAAACTCCCATTAACCAAGATATCGTCATGAAAACATATTCGTATTCATTTTCTGGCTTTGGATTCTTGCCTATAGAAGTTGCTGTCTTTGTGGCAAAGTAAAAGCAACGAATATATCTGAAACAAATGAAATACTATGCTTTAAAACATTAACGTATCATCATGGAATTTGGGGTGCTTAACGTCTTTAACATTTAGATAGACTTAAACATAGAATATTGATTTGTAAGAGGATTACACACCATTGATGAACATGAGTTATTAATACAAAAAATTTCCGATTTGTCGGAGTAAAACTGAGGTTGACGACCAGGTAATCACAGTTAAAAACACAGAAAATCATACTATATGACAAACCACAGTTTAAAACACAGAAAAGCTTATTATTTAATTATTACTAATGAACACTGGTGAACAGAAATTAAGCCATATATTAATGAACATAAATTAGGCTATATCCGTAAAATTTCCTGGTTTAGAAACGGCCACTTAGTATTTTAGAAAAACGCTTAAAGATACCTTAGATTTTGAAAGGAGTTTATTAATGGTACATAATAAAGTTTATGCGCATAATAATACACTCAATAATATCAATATAAACATAAATAAATTCTGTAGTTTTTCAGTATAATCCCGATAGAAATGGCACATTTTTGAAGAATGTGTCTTAAAATTTTCGTAAATTTTATTTGATTCATGTTTCAAAAATTAAGAACTAAATTAAAACTAAATTAAAACATATTTTATAAAATTACGCTAAATAATGAATGTAAAATCAAATACATATTTTATAAAATGCATAAGGTATTTTATCACTCTTTTCCGCATGCCTTCGTTGTATAAATGGAAGCACGCTTGATGCGTAATCGGAAAGTCCGGAGTTCGAACCCCGGGGAGCATTGCAGATTTCTTCAGTTTCCCGACTTCAGAAAAAAATTCTAATGACTTGATGTATGAGCACGTGAAAAAGATCTTTGTTAATACTATTCATTGTTCTTTATACATATAGTTTGTTGATAACTCTGCAAAACGGAGAATACATGTAATGTAAATACTATTATTCCAGTATTTAGGAGCTCGTTGTACAGGATTCTTTGACGTCTTGATATAATTTCAAAGGAAACGTGATAGTAATAAGTTAATTAAATTACATAGTGGAATATTTTTGGGAGAAGAAGTGCATGTTATGAAATCGTAAAATTTAAAAAAGATGTAGTGTTTCAGAAAAACGCTTATACATGAAGATTAGAAATGAAGTTATGAAGTTAAATTTAAAAAAAAAACTTAGTATTTAATTTAAAACTTAACATTAGTTTGTGAACTGAAGGCTTTAAACGCATAATTAAATTTATGCGTTTCATGGCTTCAGATCACAAACATACATAGTAATAGCCGCTATCTATAACCAGGGGGGATTTATGAAATGAAGGGCAAATTTAACTGAACATTTGCTGACTCCTCATATTAAGATGTAAGATATATTCATTTACTATTTATAAAAACCTGATGTCGACAACTCATGGCCTCCTTGTGCGACCAGCTAAATTTTACACACAAGAATTCAAGGAAATAAGCTAATTCATTTAAGCTTATTTCCTTGAATTCTTCTAACTTGAATAACCGATTTCTTATAGCAAGTTGAAAGTGATGTAAAAAACTGCAAATTTTGAAATTAAATATCGTGGTCAATTTTTATCGTACAAGAATCAAACTTCTTATAATTTTATTTTTTCATAAGGAGTATGAACCTTTCCCAAATATGAGAATAGGAGGCGGGAGACCACCTTAAAAGTTAGATTTAGTTATTTGCCGAAAACTAATTTTTTGTACGAAAATTTCGAAAATAAAGGCTGGGTAAGGATATTGTTTTGAGTTATGCGACATACATACATACATACATGCATACATACATGCATACATACATGCATACATACATATATACAGACATACCTACGTGCTAAAGTCAGGAAAAAATTCCTTTGAAGCCACTTTAAATCCATTTTGGAAAAAAAGAGCCACTTATTCTGTGCTCACATACAGATGAAAAAACGAACGAAAAAAACTCATACAGACGGATTCGGGAACGGTTAAAAGGGACATTTCCGTCGAAATATGGTACCCGAAATTCTAAGCTATTACAATACTTTGTACAAGGAAAAAATTATTGGAAGCCTCCATGATTGCAACTTGAGATCTTCATAAATCAATTTTTGTTTTTCACCAATCAGTGTAATTTTAAGAATAGTTTGTATTGTAACGAGCTTCTTAAAATTAAACATAAATAGTTACTACATCAGCATTAAAATTAAAGCTACTTTTTGGTTTCTATAATAAGCAAAAGAGGAATGATTAAATACTAGATTATTAAAGACGGTAATTTAGAGTACTATAAATTCTTCATACTTTGGTTAAAATGACTATATAATTAAATAAAAGGTGCTTACGCATTGCCATTTCCTTGGAAGACCCAACCATTTGATCCTATACCTTCCCAAGTGGACATAGCGTAGTAGGCACAAGCATTCAAGTGAATCAGGTACATCATATACAATAAGGTGCGAATTATCCTAAACAAAAGTAGTAAGTTGTAGAATTATAAAACTAAAAGAATTAGCTGTATAGAACTAAAGGAGTTGCTTTTTAAAATATAATTAATAATAGCAAATACGATTAAAAGTTTTTGATTTCTGCTTTTTAAGATTAGTTTGTATGTTTATATTTAAGATCTCTACAATGTCATACTAGATTTGGATTACAGAAGAAAGCGAAAGTTAGATAATTAACATAAATACAGCATAGATAAACACTTGAAATTACGTTCACGAACCGGAAGCGTTTAAACTATGTTTTTAAGAAAAAAATTAGGATTTCAAAGATAAAAACTTCCAAAGATCTTTCTTCTTTCAAAGATTTCCTAAAGAAGTTTTGGAAGTAGCTGCATTTACATATAGTTTTCTACATTGTAAATGTGTAACATTTTTATTAACATAATATGTAATATATTTATTTACCTAATGACATAAGGTGTCTTTGCAACGGCATCAACTCGATGAAAAAACTCCCAAAAAGTTTGAACCTGAAATGAGAAATATAGCAAAGTAGAGAAATGAATGTATATAGCAAAATAAATCATATTATCTTAGGTCATATTTCTATCTATTCACATATTTACATGCATGTAGGGAAGTGTATCTATACATATACCTATATCAATCACTCTATTTATCTATATGCCTATCTATCTATATGCATACGAACGCTATCTTTTAAGTAAAGTGACAGCGATCTTTGTTCTTTTAAATCTTCTTTTAAACACGTGAAGTAATGCTATGCCTGATATAATATTTTTCGGCTGTAATACGTCCTTCCTCCAGATTACTAATATGACCACACAAAAAGTTACCCATATATGTTCTCTTATACATCATCTTGTCTGCAACAAAACAGAAAATCAACCTGAACCTACTAAAAAGGCGCTTTCAGTCTCCAGCCTTTGCGTGGAAAAATCTGCCTTTATCACATCTTACACTGTCTCGCGACATAACCACATTATTTAGCAAAAACATATATATACTTATCGACTTTCTGATAGTTTGTAATCAAAGCACTCAGAAGGTTTTGTGTTTCACTTGACGCGTATCATTGCATGGAATGTTGTTTGTCCTTAAGTTACGCACATTAATGTAAAAGCATAATATTATTAAAAATACACAAGTGTAATACTGTTTAATTAGGTACGTATATTGCTTTAATTATTGAGGTTTTATCATTTTAGTAGTTTAATGAATAGCGCACATTCTGAAAAACAGTTCAAATATTTTTGCGGGTTTGGTTAAATGTTGAACCAATTTTACTGAATTTTTCCCCACAGAGAGTGACAAATTTCAGAATTAAAAAGTCATCTCACATTTACCGATATAAGGTGATTTTTTGGCTATATATTATGAGGATAAAATAATAAATCTTCCAAAATTAAATTATACAATGTTAATATAATTCATCGAATAGAAAATCCTTATCGACAGAATGAACTTGGAAGATCAAGGAAAAAAATCCGTATAACGAACAGTGTTTTTCTACTTTGTACAACTCCTTCACATTAAATGTTTTATAAAGTATTTTCTCCCTACTTTCTGCATGTCTTCATGGTATAAGGGCAGCACACTCGACGCGTATTTCAGAGGTCCAGGTTCGAGTCTCGGCGAGGGCATTGCTTATTTTTCATGTCTCCTGCTTAAAAAAATCCTAAGGACTCTACAGTGGCGCCTGAACTAAAAGGTGGTTAATGATGGTTTTTCACCACCAAGACTTGGCGACTGGGTCCGCTAATCTCCAGTCACCATTTAAAAAGGGGTATTTTCTCCCTATTTTTTGCATGCCTTTGTGGTGTAACGACAGCATACTCTGCGCGTATTCGAGAGGTCTAAGTTAGAGTCCTCGTGAGGGCATTCTTATTTTCCACATCTCCTTTAAATAAAAAATCTGAAATGTTTCAGATTTTAATTTACGTTCAAAGTGGCGTTTTATTAACATTTTGTGTGTTACATTTATTTATTAAATACCACGTTCTTCGCACTTAAACCATAAAATTCAGTTCAACAGCAATATCGCAAAAATATTTTTAAAATGAGCATATTTTTAGAATTTCGGATACAGAGACTCGCGCGCTGGAGATAAAAGTGTTTTTCCGTACAACGTTGCCATTGCTCGCTTTGAAATCCTTGAGTTTGTTAATCAAAAATTCGTTACAGTTTTACAAAATAGGAAATTGATAATAAAACAAGTTCCAAATTTCAAATTTGGTCTTCCACATGCCCATATTCGTAGAATTAAGTCATTCAAAATTCGATGGCTCTATGTACCGTTGTTTTATCACAATGCGAGAAATATACATATATTTATAATGATTTTTCATTATGTAATTTCTTTAAATATAACACAGGCAATAATACTTTGTGGCAACAGTTTGAAAAGTGATTCGACGTTTGTAGTGAATGGATGCAAAATCGCAAAACGAAAACAATAAAACAATAGTCCTTCAGGTACAAAGCTCTTTGGATTAAAAAAAATCATATGACTCTACAGTTTCATTTGCATAAATATGTAATAGAATTTTCAAGTATTCTTGATGATAAGAGAAATGAAATTTAACAGAAATTAAAAGAATTTGCAAGAAAAAATACGATAACACGAAATAAAGAATTTATAAGGAACTAGAATGAGCATTATTTTATCCTTTTTAGGCTAACCAATAATAAGGGAAAAGTCAATAAATAAATGAAGGATGTCAAGAATGTCCTCATTAAACAAATAAAGAGTATGAGTGAAGAAACTAGGAAATCAGACCACAGAAATCTCCTCATTTACGAAATTAGCTTCTTTTTTCGTGTGTTATCTTGAATATGATTAGAGGTTAGATAACATAAAATAATAAAACTTAAACAGAATTGTTGAATTAACATGGAAATTTATTATTGAAATAAAAAGAATCATTCTTTATTAATTTTCTAGAATTATTAATTATACAGAGGATGTTTACACATTTTTAAAACAATTTCGACAAAAAATTAAAGCAAATGTTTTGGAATAAAAATTTTTGGCAATCGCTTATTATTTGATATGTGAAATATGATCTGCTAATTTAAAATTTATTCTTCTTTCAAAATGTCGCATATAAACAAGCTGTGGTGACGGATATATTTTGAACTTTCCAAAAAGAAATATTTCTATTCCGTAATTCAAAAACATTGTGAAATGCATGGTATTAACATTTCTAAGTGTAAAATAAGCAACGATATTAGTTGGAACAGGAAAAATCGTCAAACATTACTTCAACATGGAAAGAAGATTGTAAAACAATCTTGAGAAAAAGTACGTACTTCTCCTAATGTTTAATCAAAAGTTAAATCACCTGTTAAAATTAAAATTAAATCACTGGTAATAACAGAAAATACGTCGACGCCGAAATAAATTATAAAATCTTTAAATGCATCTTTAGCAATAATGTATAAAATAATAAAACAAGATTTACAACTTAAACCAGTTAAAAAAATAATGTTCACTAGCTTTTGCCAATGCATGTGGCTCAGCGCAGAACAATTTATAGAACCTGTATGAAAAACTATTTAGCAGGAGATGAATGGAAATACACCGTGACCTTCATGAAGCATGACTGCAACAAAAAGGATATATTTATTATCAAAAACGAAGAGAAAAACGTAAAAACCCGCTTCCTTTAGACCAAAGAATGTTTCAGTAAGGGGTTTATGAGAGTAAGGGGTTTATGAGAGTTGCATGATTCTCTTACAATGGGAAATAAAAAATAAGGAAAGTAAAAACAAAATTTAAAATCAACTCAACGTATTATCAAGAACACTTTCCACGTCCGATATTTACGGAAGAAATTTCAGTTCCTTACTCCAATGATTTCCAAAGAATGAAACTTCATGAAGACAAAGCAACAAGTTATACTTCGAAATGTACCACTGCGTTCATTGAAAAAATGAATGAAGACTGAAAGAGAGGTATTGCATATATACATTTTCAACGTACTCCTATGAAGTCTACTGATGTTTGATCTATGGAGTACTCTGCCTTTGGTCTCTTGAAAAGAGCTCTTTCTAAGCGCAAATCCACCACGATTCATGGACTCTGGAAAGTATGAAAACAGGAATGAATCAATACTCCTGGGGATTTTGCGAAAAGCCCTTCAATCATGAAAATCACAATGCAGACTTATAGTCCGAAAAAAATAAAATATCATATACCTGAAGGCTCTCAGATTGAAAAATTAAAAAAACCACTCCTTATATTTTAACATTAATTAAATAACCACAAATTCGTTCTAAAAACGTGTAAGCACCCTCTGTATTATCTACACAGCAATCAGATTTGTAATTTTAATGAAAGAAGACGTAAGTATATAATATTGTTTTAAAGAAGATTGTATTTCTTATAACATTAATACGTAGTTGAAACGAAAAAAAAATCCATTAAAAATTAATCCATAAACATTCATCATTCAAGATACATCAGAAGAAATACCAATTTTGGTAACTTTACCTTTAATAGTCTTGGAAGTCGAAACAGAGGATTAATTCCATGGATAAAATATAGAAGATCCAAAGGAAATAAAGATAAAACATCCATCTGAAAAATTTATTTCTCATGTTATATTTGTTACCACAGAAAGAGAAATCAACACTTTAACACAGTTGATGACAAATTATTCTCAAGTGTTATTTAGACGAATAGTCCGCCGAATTTCATAAGAGTTTAAAACTTATAACCAGTCATTACAAACTGCATATCATTAACAGCAATAGCAATAAATTTTAAGAAAAAGGCTATTTATTATTACAATTTAAAATCAATTTATCTATTAAAAGCTATAGATTTATTTCGAATCTTGCGTAAGGTAAAATAAAGATATTCAAAATCACCATATTACACTTCCACTAAATGAAGTTTAATATTATTATCCTTGGCAATATAAGGTAAAAACTGGACGTTTTATTTATTAACACCAATTCCTGTTTGCAAATTTTGTTCGTTTCGAATTAAGTACATTTAGCATGTCTACTCAAAGTATTATAAGTTTACTTATTTTTAATGGCTCATAATTGTGGTAAATGAAGACATTGTCAATCAAAACAATAAAACTTCATTTTAAATGAAGCTCTTACCAGTTGCATGTATAATGAAGTCTCTAATCAACAATATATGAAAATTAATATGGACATTAAATTCATTTTTAATTTAAAAAGAAATGCATTTTAAAATGTTAAAATTATTAACTAAATTTTGATAAACATTTTATTTTGGATTTCGTAATAAAAAATTAGAAGCGAAGTATGGAAAAAATTGTTTCCCGATAGCGATAATCCTGTTAAATATTTAAAATATTTCAAAGAAGTTTTCTTAGGACTTATTCTGAATATGAGATGCCATTGTTTGATTATGGCAAAGCAAGAGAGGGCTATCTGTTCAAGCAGAAGTTCTTCATGGAGCACTTTATGAGGGAAACTGGTTGATATCCACTTTACACATGGAAAAAATAAAGAAAACCTCCATGAGCGCGTTGTACGCGATTTTGAACTGCCAGTATTCAAGGACTTTTATCTCTAACCGCCTGGTGACTCACACGTAAAATTTGGATTAGCAAAAGTAAAACAATAAGGAGGAAACAAAAGAAAGTAAAGTAACCCTATTTATTTTAAACGAGTTCTTAAAAAGTTCTAGTTGCTTTATTTAAACTGTAAGGGAGTTAAGAAACAAAATTATTCAAATTACAAAAAAAAAAAAAAAAAAAAAAAAAAAAGTAAATAAATGAAACCAAAAATAAATGCACAGTCACAAAACTTCATTTAGAAAAAAATGCTTTTTAGACTCTACGCATAAAAATTGACAAAATTGAAAAGACAGTTTTAGTGATGCAACTAAACATCTGAAAAGAAAAGCTATGATTTAAAAAATGAACTTACCTTAAACATCGTCTTCTGAATATAATTTGCTCTAGTCTTTTTGTAGTCATCCTACGAGGAAAGATAAAATACTTAAAGATAATTTCAATCAATCTTAATTACTACTACTACTACTAACAACAATATACTCATTAAAACGAACTGATTTACTTTTTATCACTGAGATCAATTTTCCAATCATTTTAAGAAATACAAAATCGAACCTAAAGCGTATATCATTTACAATCAATCGACGAAGACATAAAAGAGCTATTTGATAAATGTCTTGTCCAACCTTTACCTACACTAGATTATTTTCTTTAAATGGAGAGAAACGACTCTTAAAAATCAAATGAATGTCAGCAGACAAAACGTTTGCTACGTCAGCAGACAAAGCGTTGCTTAAATGGTAGGAATTCATACTTGCATTCAGAAACAACTGATGAAAATATATGATGTCGATAATCAGAAAGTTTTAAGATGTTTAATTAAATATGGAATACTTCAATTACCTAAAAGCTATTAGTTTTGAAATAGATTATAAAAACAGTTTTATTATACTAATCAGAAATAGGAAATTACCCAAAATAAAAGAAAGTTTATTAAAGTTATACAGTTCCAGTTAATTTACCTGTTCTTGGCTACTAGATCATTAGTGAACAGTACAGCGACTATTGGTCTTTCTTGAAACTATAAAAGATAAGTACAAAGAAGGATTAAAATACCCTTTTATTCACTCAAAGAAAAGTTGGTCCCTCTCAGGCTTACAGGAAAAGCCTCCACTTGGGCTTTATTTTAAGATAGAAAATAAGAAAGTAAACTAATTATAACTAACTAAAACTTGGTCAAACCTGTACAGAAATAAATAACCGAGTTGGCCCGTAATTAAATCTCACCGGCAAATACTAACAGCCACGTAAGACCACGGCTGAACTTAGTAAAAGAGGCTTAAAGCAACGATATGGCTCAAAGACAGAACACGCTTACAGAGAACTTCTGAGCTCTTCTACGGATGTGACTGAACTTCCCATTAAATACTTTATTAGGTATTTCTCCAGCCTTCTTAGCATGCCTTTGTAGTGTAGTGGTTAGCACGTTCGGCGCCTATTCGAGAGGCCCGTCGTTCGAGTCCCGTCGAAAGCGTTGCTCATTTTTCACATCTTCTGATTCCAAACTAGCCTAATGACTCTAAGTGGCGTCCGAGCTAAAACGAAATGTGATGAATGATGATTCTTCTCCACCAAGATTTGGCGATTGGGTCCCCTAAAACACCAGTCGCCCTTTAAAAGGGGGAATATATAAGGTATTTTTAGCATGCCTTCATAGTGTAGTGGTGAGCATGCTCGCCGCGTAATTGAGAGGGCCCATGGTTCGAGTCCCGGCGAAGGCGTTGCTCATTTTTCCCATCTTCTGCTTCCAAACTTGCCTAATGACTCTACAATTTATTTTACTTCATTTACACGAAACGCTATACTAAAACTCTTTCTGGTAGGGAGTTGTAGGCGGAAAACAAGGATTTAAAGGAAAGGGTTTCAAAATTAAAAATAACTATTAGAAAATTAAAATAATCCCCATAAACGTTTCAGATAAAATGTACTCATATATAACTCAGAATATTAGTATTTAAGCTACTCACTCTTTTGGCTAATTTCAGGGCCAAATTATATAGAAATCATAAAGAAATACATATACTTGAAAATATTACATAAAGATGATAAATAAAGCTTACACTGGTGTGCAAAAATTAAGGATGAAGTCGGAAAATTAGCATATCAGCTGAACCAAGAGGCAGAGCGGACAGAAAGACCAATCAGGAGATTAAGTAAGGTGATGTACGGTAGCACATGCGCAGATATGCAGGTAGACGTAATGGGGGGGGGCGAGTATCTGAGTAGTGTAAAGCATGTTGTCGGTGTAAGATCAGTATTTCTGGCAAAGAGATTGCACGCCGTATAGCAGTTAAAATCCCACCGAGTTGCTGCCTCAGCGAGAAATGGCGAATAATCAATCTGTTAGACGACATCTGGATGCTTTTACCCGAGGTCGAATCATTGGGAAGTTGGAGGAAGGCCGCAGTGTGACATGTGTGGCTGCAGAGTTCGGAATTTCTCACAGCATCGTTTCACGACTTTGGAGACAATTTCAAACTACAGGAACAGCTATCCGGGGGTTTAGTAGTGGTCGTCCACGAGGAACCACACCCGCAGATGACCGGTATATTGCCTTACAGGCCAGAAGAAACAGCCGGCAGACAGCGGGAGAAATCGCTAGACACACGACACAGGCGACTGGGGGACCGATATCGCGTTTTACCGTGGCCAGAAGACTGCACGGTGGTGGTCTGTTTGCACGACGCCCTGTACGGTGTGTACCTCTAACGCCTGCCCATCGGAGAAGGCGTTCTCTGTGGTGCCGGGAACACCGGAATTGGAGAGACTATGAATGGGGACGAGCACTCTTTACAGATGAGAGCAGATTCAGTCTGAGTAGCGATTCTCATCGCATACTCATCTGGAGAGAGCGGGGAAGCCGCAATCATCCCTCGAACATCATTGAAAGGGACAGGTGTGGAGGTGGCGGTGTTCTAGTTTGGGGAGGCATCATGCTTGGTAGTCGTACAGACCTTCACATCTTCGACGCAGGTTCAGTCAACGGGGCCCGTTATTGTAACGAGATTCTTCTTCCATATGTGCGTCTTTTTAGAGGCGCTGTGGGTCCGCAGTTCCTTTTCATGGACGACAATGCACCATGTCATCGCACAGTAGCTGCCGAACAGCTCTTAGAGAGTGAGGATATTGAACGTATGGATTGACCGTCACGATCTCCGGATCTCAATCCCATCGAGCATGTATGGGATTTTCTAGGCAGACGCTTGGCAGCTCGTACCTTACCACCAGTAACGATTCCGGAGCTTCGATTGGCGCTGCAAGACGAATGGGCAGCAATGCCTCAACAACTCATTGACACCCTCATTCTCAGCATGGGCAGACGCTGTGAAACCTGCCTAGCTGTCAGGGGAGATCATATTCCCTATTAAAGACCAGATGTTTCTTGCTGGACACCCATCACAGGGATGTTTCGGCCTTCAGTCGCATTGCGCTCCATGCTACTTTTTCAATAAAGCTTCTTTTTATCCCTCTGATTTCTCTTTTAGTAAGTGTTGCTTACATTACTCATGTCCTTACGTATTGGGGATCTTACGGTATTAAATGTGTTGATTTGGAAAGCTTTTGTACAAAGTTATATTGAAAAAACCGTCTCGTCCTTAATTTTTGCACACCAGTGTATATTAAGAACGGCAACCATGGAAGACTGACTAGCCCCAAATGGGAAACGGGTCAGAATTTTTGTCTACATTGATTTCAGTATAATGATGAAGCAGAAGAGGAAATAGTTGGATTGCTTTGTTGGAGACAAACTACAGAAACGAAATTAAATTTCCGAGTTTCTGGCTCTTCTTTTTCATTTCAAGTTTGATCATAAAGCAAACTTGTCATGAAAAGGAATAATGAAAGACCCATCACCAACTTCAGACTCTTCCCTTTCACGCTATATTTACTTTATGAGCAAATCTGACGTGAAAAGAATAAATAAATTAACCATCAGAATTAAAAATTCCTCCAAATTTGCGCACTTCTAAAATTTTCTAAAGAGAAGCACTGTATGTAAAAACAGATTTCAGGAAATCCATCTAAAGACACTAGCTACGGATTTGAACCCAAAATGGTGTTAGAAAATGCTTTTGGCATACCAAATATAAAAAAATTATAAACTAAACTGTCACATAGTAATAAGTTACAGAACAATGATACCAAATGACATTAAAAGCGAAAAAAGATCAACCTCAAAATATTTAACTTTGTTTTTTAACTTAGATGAAAATTACGTGGATCAAGGATGTTAAAAATTCAAAAATTTGAAAAAAAAATATTCAGAGCAATTTTTATCGTTCCGCAATGAAATGTTTTGAGTTTTATTTTTTTTTTCATATGCTCTTATGCACTGAGCTGTTCTATTATTTAAGACTGACACTCAAGTTTGTGACCTCGGTGACTTAATAAATGTCAAATTATATCATTTTTAGTTATTCAATCTGATAGGGTTTAATTTTAAATAGTATTTTAGAATGCCCTTCTAGAGGTTACCGCTGAATACTCATTTGTTTTACATTATCAGATTATTTTATAATATCTTCATTTATTATAATATTGCCTTATCAACGGCGGAGAGGTTGAACCGCTGAACACTGGTAGTTCCAACAGGATTCGAAACTAGGCGAACAGGTTGGTTGCATGGGCGTTTTCGTGGACTTCCCCATGTGTAACGTATATAAGAGTCAGTTTCCCCAAGAAAGTCTTCCACGAAGACCTCCCTCCCCTTAGCTAGATGGCCGTAGTGGGCTTTGCCATAATAAACTAAATCAAACCAAACCTAAAATAATATAGGCATATCTAATATTTTATCCTCTTAATTAATCCTTTTTATGTTTACTTTTACAATAAGCGCTGCTTAATGGGATCGCGTTTGACCATGCCTATTTTGATAGTATTAACGGAACGCTAACATTAAACTACGAGAAAAATATTCTTCAAAACGGCAATGGAATTTATAACTAATTTCAATGGAATTTATAACTAATTTAATGTAAAAATATCTAGAAACTTATAAATCTTTATTTGCAATTATTATTTGCAAAGCAATTTATTTAGGAAAATGTAAAAGTTCGTTTATGAACTTTTCATAATGTCTTTAATGTAAAAGTGCATCTATGTACTACTCATAATGTTTCTGGAAATTACTTGATCAATGCCCCTAATCTTAGTATTCGGAAGGCATCCTTCATCAGAAGAGAATATGCCAATTTAACATTTGAAATTCAGCATAAAAGCAACATTAATTTCTCATCAAAGCCTTAGGTCTCAACTTTAGTTTCTCAATATTAGTTCTAGATGTTTTCAGAGAATTTTTCTTTCAACAGCAATGAAAAAAAAAAAAAAAAAAAAATCTACAGAATATTTTTTTTTTTTTTTTTAGTAGTAGTAACGCGTAGAGTTCTGTTTTTGCTTAATATATCATTAGAAAACAGCAACGTAAAGTCTTAAACTATGAAAAAAAAGTCGATCTAATGTTTAATCAAATCAATTTTGTATTCCAAATATGTATACAATTCATTTCATAATTAATGTTAATGCAGGATAATTTTCATTGCACTTTTATAAGCTTAATTTTCAATGCGCATCATATTTTCTACCTGTGCTATAAATCCTATATATATCTTATTTCTTTTCACTTTATGCTCCTGCCTTATTTTTTAACTCTTCAATGATACTTAAAAGACCTTATGCAGCCTTTATTTTAGCAACCACTATTGGTCATAGACATATGCTTACAAAGGCAATCATTCTTTATATTAAGAGAATATTCATATTATGAAACTTTTCAATTAAAAAAACCAATTTTTTAAACATTAAGAATTCTAACATTTTATACTGTCTTCGGTTTTTATAGTTACATTTAGTAGACGTTTATGCTCATTTAAAATCACAAAATGTTTGATAATATTACGGCAAAAACTGATAGAGATATTTTTTTTAAATGTTGAGATCATATTCTGTGATCGCACAAAAAATAAAGACTGAAATCTTTGCATTTGTGCAAAACTAAAAAGAAATATGAGGTTAGAAAAACTTTTCTGATGCTAATAGATTAAGTGATAAGCACTGCCTAGCAAACTGCCATGAAAATGATTGAGTAATAAAATCCTTTTCAAAAAGAAGATTTTATTTACAGAAAGTTTTAGAATTCATTTTCTTGGGAACAGTGACGCTCTTCAGTAGTGCCTTTTTGTATGATTATTAGATTACCATTTTGAAGCAACAAAACTGCTTGAGAATATTAATAACTTAATTTTAACATTTAAAAACTTAGAAATTACTTCTTAGAAAATGCTTTTGGCATACCAAATATAAAAAATTATAAACTAAACTGTCACATAGTAATAAGTTACAGAACAATGATACCAAATGACTTTAAAAGCGAAAAAAGATCAACCTCAAAATATTTCACTTTGTTTTTTAACTTAGATGAAAATTACGTGGATCAAGGATGTTAAAAATTCAAAAATTTGAAAAAAAATATTCAGAGCAATTTTTATCGTTTCGCAATGAAATGTTTAGAGTTTTATTTTTTTGAAGGAGTATAAAGTTTTACTACACAATAAATGTAGGCATCCGGGAACTGTATAAAACATTAGATTTCGCCAATTCTAAAAAATGAATTTTTAAATTTAACTGAAAAAACTTGAACATTAGCATCATTTAAAACATTTTTGTGACTGGAATTACATTTTAAGTCTATGTTTGCGAAAATAAAAGACCGCATAAAGATTTTTATGGACAAGGCGTACTGTAGAAAATCGCCTTTTAATAATGAAACTGTTTTATAACGAATCTCTTTTCTTAACATTCTTATTTAACACGTGCTTGATTTTCGTTTCTGCGTAATGTTTAATTTTTACAATTGCTCGGTATTCCGATATGTAGGACATAACAGCAATACATGAGTGATCTATGTTTTCTAAATGAATGAATAACTAAAAATTATATGCTTTTTGCACAGGTAAAATACATGCCAAAAGATATAGATGGGTATTTTCAACCCATCTAGACTGAAAGGTTTGCCCCGTGTGCATATAACGTTTTCTTCCCTTTTGCTTTCGTACTTCTTTTCTTCATGATTTTCTAAAAACTGATGTCATATCAGTTTTACGTCCAGACTTATTCTGGCTAGATTTCCTACAAACAATAAGCAAGTGGATATTTAAAGCGAGTTTTTTTCTCTCCCATTTTCACTTCTTATTTTGCCTAATTGCCCGAATAAAAATTCATCTTTCTTTTTGTTATGTAATCTGCCGATACATGGCATTGTAAGAAAGCATCCGCTAGACGCTAGAAGGACAACGTTAGTTAGAGAGAGAGAGAGAGCGCAAATGAGTGCAATATTGTACGTTGCGTTTGAATTATGATTCCCTTGTAGGGAATGGGGCCGTTTCGCCGTCGGGCCGTTTTACCGTCGGGACGTTCAGCCGTCAAGACATATTTTTCCTTACACGATTGTATTATATCTTGCCGTATTATATTAACTTGACTTTTAATAATTTCATTTAATTATATAAAATAAGACATAAAATGTTTCTGTGCACAGTTTTTTAAAAATGCATTGTTACGCATATTAATTTTAAGAAAGTATTGTGCTGACAAGATTCTAAAGTAATTCCGTTTTCCATTCAGATTTCATAAAAATGTAAATTTCTTGCTTATATGTGTGATTTCTTTGAACTAGCAGATTAAAATTTCAAGAAATTTTGGCGAATCATGTAAACTTTGTACCTGCAAGTTTAGTGTAGTAACAGAAGTTTAGTCCCAGTTCTCTTTGATGCTGACATAATTTTCCAACTAACTATGTTTAATTTCTTTATATCTCATACTTGTAAATAGCTATATACATTACAAGCAACCTTTATTAAGTATACAAAAGGTAAAAAGAATTATTAATCTAAATAAATTTAATACGAGTATAATACAGTCATATAAAGAAAAATAAGTCTTGACGGCGAAAAGTCCCGACGGCGAAACGGCCACGGTGAAATGGCGACGGCGAAAAGTCCTAGACCTTCCCCAGCAGGCGTCTGGATTTACATACATATACAGTTAATTCCTTTAATAAATCAAAAGTAGTACCTTGTACCATTCTTATAAGTCAAACCAGAAAGAACATCTAACAGCTGAAATATATGTAGTTGAAAAAATATATGTAAAAAAAAATAATATATAGAAATAAAAAGAAAAACATATGTAGCTTTTCACTCGGATTTGGATGTTCATTTTCTTTTGTAGTTTATATATTTTCTAACAGCAACACTTTTTTATTTATTTATTTAGTCACTGTGGTGTAATTGAAAAGACTTGGTAAATAGTGACAAGCAATATTAATTACAAAATTTAGTAACTTAAAAACTTATATAATTTATTATTAGATACAGTCGTAATTTTTATATTTTCTACAGTTTATCGGTAAGTGGACAAGATTGAAGCTGAACATTGCGTACTTAGATATCAATTGACTAAAAAGAAATGTCGACGCAAATTTTCATTCCCTTGTATATTCTAAATTGAATAGGTATTTTCATTCTTGTTAAAATCGAAGAAACGATTTCTGTAAATTTCAAAGTTGTCAGAATTTAAACACATTAATTATTAATAGAAAAAGAAAATATCTTAAAGGATTACGATCTACTTACCACCCAAAAGCCATCGTGCAGAAACTGAAGTCTCGCTTTGAATACCGCTACGTCCAGCACATATATAATATCAGCAGCATAGTCGAATAGGAGAAAAATAGGAATGTTCTCAGCAGTTTGATAGGGAAATACAGCGCGTAGAACGATGGACCAAGCGTTATAAACATAACTCACCATAACGAAGAATAGCCACGAGATATATATTTTGCCTAAAGGGAATAAAAAGTTAATAGTATCACGAAGAAAACGTTCACTGCAATAATCTTTAAAAGTAGTTGATGATTATATGTCAATTATATGGATATGACAGCCCAGAAATTGCTTCCAAATTTACTTATATAAATTAAACTAAGTATGAAAGAATTTTAGAGTTTTACTGTTGATTGATTACGAACCATTAAACGCATCTAGTCAATAAAGCAAATAAAAAATTCTTCATTTCAGAGAGATGAGAAAAAAAAACTTATAGAACATGACTTCGCATATCTACAGTTTATTTTCTCGTGTTGGCATCTGCTATTTAAAAAATATGAATAACAACGATTAAAGAAGTTACTCGAATGGGAAAACAGGTAAGATGTCATGAAAGGCATGAATTTTTATGGAACTCACGGTAAGTTTAAAAAATGGAAATAATTTATATCTTGGTGCTCATTGTAGGAATAATCGCTATAATCACTGTTCTACAATTAGCGAAAAATCTGATGTGGACATCCTATGACTTCCTTGTACAGCCCATTAAATTATACATGCTTTATGCTGCACTTCATTTCCTCGAATTATTCTAACTTATCAATTAGCCAACCCCTCAGGGCAAGTTGAAAATGACATCAAAAATTGTAAATTTTGAAATTAAACTTTGAATTTAATTTTAGCACACTCTGCGTATTCGAGAGATACAGGTTGGAATCTCGGCGAGGACACTGCACACTTTTCATATTTCCTCATTCCCTCCCCCAGAACAAAAAACCCTAATGATTGTAGAAATTCGTATGATTTTATTATATTATATTAATTTAATGAGCCTTTTTCACCAAACTCTTAACAACAGTTATTTGCTATTACTAGTATAATATGTATTTTAGTTACATTTAGTTGCGAATCCTTTGTTTAATTTTTAAATGCATTCCTTTGATTTGAAAGATGCAAGATTTTTCCTCATATAAAATTACATAATGCCAGATTTATTTGAAAAAGAATATAAAATTCACAGATATTTAACCAGCAGCTATAAGATGATGATTAAGTTTCAGATACTACTTTTTCAAAGTTATCTTAAGTTTCAATAGTTTTTAATAATTATTGTTTCGTTAACTGAATGACAAAGGCTACATATAAAATTGTATTATGATTGAAAGAAGATAAAAAAAATATAAATACAGTAAATAAGTTTAAACTCTTTCACTCCCGGTAGTATTCCGGTCAATTTTTGTCGGACGGGAATCAAACTTCTTATAATTTTTTTTTATAACAAGTATAAAACTTTGTCAAATCTAAGAATAGGAGGTGGGAGAGCACTTTAAAAGTTAGATTTCGTTATTTGTCGAAAATAATGTTTTTTACAAATTTGACATTGTCAAAACATTTGTCAAAACATTGTCTTTGTCATTTAAAACACTTCTATGATTGGAAGCATATGAGACTACCACCAACGATTGAAAAAATAAAGACCGGATAAGGACATTTAAACTGGGTAAGGGAGTGGGATAAATTGCTACGTTTAGTACTATCGATTGCAATAAAAAAGAAAAGTGCACAACTCGATATTATAGCAATCGCATGTACAAAATTTCAACGTTCTGCTGCTAATCGTTTTTGAGTAATGCAAGATGCATATGTAGATACCAACAGATGTCATGAAGAAATCCCTTTTGAATCCCTTTTGCAATTCTTTTTGTAATAAAAATCCTTTATTTTGTCCATATGTACAGAGACCATGCAAAAAATCGTCCAAATGGATTCGGAAGGGACAAAATAGATATTTACTTTGAGATATGATATCCTAAATGTTTCGCGGTTACCTCGTACAAGGAAGTAAAAAAGAGCAAGCGCCATGTCAAAAGCGCACTGTTATTTTTCTGAAGCCCTCTTTTCCCCCGGACAAAATAACAAAATTAATGTTCTGAAAAATCGCTAGTGCGGCATGTCTCAAGACATCCGAAAGCTGGTTTCAGGGAAAAGATTCCAAGTGTCGGAAAAGAAATAGTATTTATCCATCTACTAACTGAATTTATGTTCATCCATTTTTTAAAATAACTATCGTTTAGGGAACATTTTATGTATTTTCTGTATTTAAATGCATAATTAATTATTAAATTGTTTTTTTCTTTTTGCGGTCTGTATTACTGTATAAGCAACATAGCACCGGCTTTAGAAAATATCAGTTTTCTCCAGATTATTATATGAGAAAGAATACGTAATTCCATAATAAATTTAGAAAATATCAGTTTTCGTTTGATTATTGTGCTAGAAAGAACATATATTTCATATATTTCAATATATATTTATATATGATGTTGATTATTGTATGAGAAAGATTATTATATGAGAAAAACTCGTATTTAAACAATCAGTTTTAGGAAAAATGAATTTTTTTAAACTATTTTATGAGAAAGAATACATATTTCAACAATCGGTTTTAGAAAATATTAATTTCCTTTTGATTATTATGTGAGAAAAGTATATATTTTAAGAATCTGGTTTAGAATATATTAAATTTCTTTTGAAAAAAAAAATACCATCAAACATCTGGCAACAGGCAATAGAGATTTTAAAACGCGAGTTATCTAAGCACCGCTTTAATCAGATTCATCACTAAAAATAATAATTATCTTACTTTGAGGATCAATAACGTTGGGAAAAGTTGGGATGAACTTTCTTTTGATTCTGCAGCAACAAAGCTTCATATACTGGCTTAATTCATAAAATTCCGACTTTTCATCCTCATGGTGAATGAGGGACTGCAATCGAGGCCGAGAATTGGGTTCAGGAGTTTGACCAGTGTCACTGGAATTTTCTAATGGAGGAGCTGAAAGTATGAAAAGTAATAACTAAGACATGAAAATTATGCGATGTTTACATGTACTGATCAGTGAATCAGAAACTTGTGTTTAAAAACATATCTGGCTATTTTCAGCCCAAACTACATACATCATTATTTCATGGTTCTACGAAAGGCAGAAGTTTGATCGAAATTCTAAATGATTTTTTAACACTGATTTAGATTCTGTTTTAAATATTGATACAGATTATTTTCCAAGGAATAATAAAAATGATGTTTAGCTACAAATGAAGCATATTGGAATTTCGAAAATGTTTAATTTTTGTTAACGTCATTTCCCATTTAAATGACTAAGCTACATATATAAGTTTCAAACTAGACCTTGTAGAGACATTAGGTATTTTTTGGAAACAGGCAAGATGAAAAATACGCAACACCTTCGCCGGGAATCGAACCACGGACCTCTGGAATACGTCCCCAGCGTGCAGATCACCACACCAAAGGCATGCCAAGAAGGCGGGAGAAATACCTTATATACTCCCCCTTTTAAAGGGCGACTGTTTTTTTTAGGGGACCCAATCGCCAAATCCTGGGTGCGGAGAATCATCATCCGACACCCTTTTAGTTCGGGCGCCACTGTAGAGACATTAGGTTTGGAAGCAAGAGACATGAAAAATTAACAACGCCTTCGCCGCGAATCGAACCACGGACCTCTGGAATACCGGCCGAGTGTGCAAACCACTACATTACGAAGGCACGCTAGGAAGGCGGGAGAAATACCCTATAGAAATTAGACTATTTTATAAGAGAAGAGATTTTTAAATTTTTACAATTAAACTTATAAATTGGTACCGCAATATATCTAAAAGGTTATAACAGATACAGCTTTTAATCAAATTAACAAAATTAAAAAAGTTCAACTGATAATAGACCAACATCAAGAAGAAATTGTTATTCTTACTTAAAATTTTAAAAGGAAATGAAATTCTAATTAATTTCATTAATAGCCTATTAAGAAAGGCTAGAGTGGTCTACATGCTACAAATGTGTTTTAAAAGTATGAATTTTTTTTATCTGAAAGTTCAAATAAAAAAGGATAAAGAAGGACGTTTTAGGAAGTTTATAGTTTTTTATTTTATTTCTATTAATGTATAATTTTATTTTACTATAATTTTTCTTGACTTTACTTTTATTAACAAAGGACTTACTATACTTTCAATCGTCATGATAAGCTCGTGACATGAAAGACTTTCTACTTTCTAACCTTCTTTCTACTCTTCCTTTACTTACTTTTCCCTTTAAAATTTTTTTTAAAAATTTCTTACAGGCATTTAAATTACCATTTAGGAGATTTCTTCTTTGCCATCGCCGATGTTGCCAAGCAGGCAAACCTAGGCATCGTTTTTGAATCTAATGCTTTCGCTGTTGATCTTTGTTTCGTAACTTGTAGTTAATGAGTTAAAAAAATTATAACATTACGAGATTTATAACATTATATTTACGAGATAACAAAAATTTTCATGTTACTGAGCAGAAACATGTTAAGGTACTCATTGTAACGAATGAGATTTTCCCAACATTTCTATTCGCAATATTTATGATTATATAGAAGGAAATTTTCAAATTTTTGTAGAAAAGATATTGTTTTCGTACAAGTAAAGAACTCAAAATTTTCAGTTTCAGTTCTCTTCACTTGTCAACCTTCTTTAATTTTAATTTCCCATTTCGAAAAAATCTGGCATTAATTAACTATTGGATAAAATAATCGTTTCCATTTTATGATATGACTTTAAACATCTTCGGCAGTATTATTATACTTAAATCTATGTCCAATTTTATTAACTTTGCAGGCATTACATTACGTATGTGTGCCCTAATTAAGGGCAAAAGAGGTATGTAGTTCTTCCTTAAAAGCGAATACGAAGCAAATATATAAGTGAATTGATTTTTCTATGTCATTTAGTTTACTCTTCATAAAATTATTCTTTTAGTATTTCACTTTCTAAGATTACATAAAAAGCAGTTACTTATTATATAACAGAGTAAATCTGTTTGGGCACAATAATGTATTATTTTGATGCTGAAGAAAAACTGCAACGCAGTCGTTATTATTCTGTGATTTACAGAATACTGTTTTAGTCTACGGAAGATATTCCTTATTCTAGTTTTTATCGGGAGAGGGGGAAGGAAAGAGAGACTGATACTTTCTCCTTTGTCAACACATGATTTCACAAAAATACTCCTAATCAAGTCATAGGAGAGAAACTGCAGTTTTGTGTAGAATAAAGATCAATAAGTACATCCAGATCTATTTGTAGGAATATGAATTACCATAACAACAAGAATATGAATTACGATTATAATAAATTAAACCGAAGCAAATAAAGCATAATATTCTCTTTAGTTATATAAGACAAATGAAGATAAAAGGATCAACTTTATTAAGAATAAATGTCACAAATCAATGATTAGATTCTTTAAAAGAGTTATCAGCAACTGAATGTTGAAATACATTCTTCTAAAACAGAAGTGTATGGTTTTTCATGCATGTCGCATTTGTTCTCAAAAATACATTTAAACTTTAAATGAATCAAATAAAATGGAAACTTTTTATAAAAGGTAAAAGTATGGGGGACACCAGCGATGTACCATAGGTCAACTGGTAATGCCTTCCCATACTAACTCAACGTTAGTATGGGAACGTTTTATAGAAGAAATTTCGTTTAAATGCCTGAAAAAAGTATGAAACATAATTTAATGTGAACATCAATATAATATAGATAAAATTACCTGAATGGCAAAAGCTTCTAAGTATTTACACTGACTCTAAAAGATGCAAGAACAGCGCAACTGGATGTTCATAAAATTATTTAATACTTTGCATTAATACCTTAAAAATACTTTCTTGAATAACTCCCTTTTTTTAAATAGAAAACGCAAAAGAATTCACGAATTAATAACACAATAAAAACAGAGATATCGTCAGCAGAATTTGAACTAAGGACCTCTAACTTTCAATACCTAAACGTAATGTTGTGAATTAACGCGACTTTCTGTTAGTATGGTGGTAGAGTAACTGGCTGCCATATACTTGGGTCCAGGTTCGAAACCCGGAGAGAGTATCAATATTTTTATTTTTAAGTGTAGAGTGTTTTTCTGGCATGAGTGCATTTAAAAACACTGTCAGGCCGACAGTTCCCTCGAGATGTTAATGGAAGTGGTCAAGAGAGGTGGAATATTCTTCGAACCATTCGCTGCGAAATTCTTATTCGAAACTGGGACAAAAGTGGGGAAACTTCTGTTGGCACTAGCAGAATGAATAATTATCTGATTGAATAAGGCATATTTGAAGGCAAATAATTTCCACAGCAAGGGAACAAGGCCTCTGCTGCAAATAAATATTAGTTTCGTTGAGGACTTCTTAATGAGAACTCGCTCGAAATTACGGAGAAAGATTCATTCTGTAAATTATTACAGACGCAGGGAAACAGATAAACCATGTAGCATATCTAGTTAAACAAACCAATGGTTAAACGGTTACTTGATCATTTCATGAGTCTAATTTAACAATTCATTAGGTAGCAGTAATATATACTTCCATTTTACTGATATTATTTCATACTAAATTATGATTCACTAAACAGAAAAATTTTATTTATTGAGTTACTCACATGGAGAAGGAGTTGGAGGCTGTACTAATCTTTCTTTGACCTTCTCTGTTCTGGCCTGAAATGCTTGGACTAAATCTTGAATCCTTTGTGAAATGAAAGCAGTACGATCTGTTTCCATCCTAAAAATAGGGTAAAACAATAATGATGATAGTGGTATTAATACTAATTAATAATTTTGGTACAGAACGGATGAATACCGACAATGATTAACTAATATAAAATGCACCGAAAGCTGGTTAGTGTTAATGAATATAATTCCATTTCATAACTTTGCCAAATAAAGAAACTTCTTATTGACGTTGAGACAAATACAGGGTGTCCAGAAAAGGAAACCTGGTTTCCATATTAAAAATTTCGAAAACAAAGATCGATAGAAGAATAAAACAAGTGTTATATTTATTCTGAAAGCTGTAAGACTGTTATACAAAAGTTTCCGAATAATAGTTACAAAAGCTGTAAACAGATGGCGCTATAATCGCAACACGTAGTGCGTATAAATAACGCTCCAAAAGACGTAAGATCGATTAAAAGTTCACATTTTGTCTCTAGGACACATTTAAAAAGTTTTTTTACTTCCAGGAAGACATATGAGATGACAACTGGTAAAAAGCCTGCAATATCACACAGGCTAAGCCTAGTATAACAGAGGAAAATGGAATGGAATGGTAAGAGCGATTGCCAAATAAGGTCTCATACGCGAGGAATCCCCGTTAACGGGCATCTGAGGTGCTGGTAAGAGCGCGATGAACTTCGCACTGAGACCAGCCTAAAAAGCAGTATCACAATAAGAACAATACAATATAATCACAGTAAGAGCCAATGCAGAATTAACGTATAAACTGCACAAACTATAGCTTAGGGCCCCTAATTTCTTGGGTCCACCTCCCAAAAAATTAAAATATAGTATAACAGACTTATGAAGGGCTCCATATTTCAATTAGCTTAGGACCTCATCAAGTATAAATCCGACCCTGTATAGAGCGACATTATGACCGAGACATAACAGCGATATTATGAGAGAGCTTTCCTAGGTGCGGTTTTGCAGGCTCCTTGAGTGTTAGCCGTAATGGTCCATGACTCTGATGAGTTCATGACCGTGTGAATCTCACTAAAAAAGATATCGGGCGATTCAATATCAAGTAAAAGCGATCAGTCCCACCCTCGAAACGCGAAAGGAGGTTAGCGTATGGAAGGAAAAGCCTGAAGTCATGTATTGCATTGTATAACGTGTGCATCTGGTACTGGAATACCAGAAGTTAGATCGCAGTCCTATGACAACAAGGTGTAGTTATCAAACACGATTGAATATTCCCAAAGGGCCCGATGTGAAAAACCATTCACAAGCTCCTCGCTAAATGTCCAACGGACAGGCAGCGTGGTCGATGGTCTGGTAGGGAGTTTTGGTTCGCAGGCAGACTGTACTTACCTCTGAAAATGTCATAACTGTTTCTGAAAATATTCAGCAAAATCCAAGAAATGCGTCCTAAGAACTGCAGTAGAGATTAGTTTGAAGACACAGAAAATAATGAGAAGCAACCTAGACTTGTTCCCATACAAAATAAAAGCCCCAGGTGCCAACGTAATAGCGCCATCTGTTCCTAACTATCATTTCGAAACTTCTATATAACAATCTTACAGGTTTCACAGTAAATATACCACTCGTTGTAGTTCTTTATCCATCTTCGTTTTCGAGATTTTTAATTTTGAAATCAGGGACTCCTTTGTTGGACATCCTATATGTTGTCTGAAGAAAATTATACATACCATTCCGAGCAAACAAAACAGCCAGTTCTGATATTAGGCTCAGAATTCTGAAGGTTAAATAATGCAATATGGCATCATATCAAAAATCATTTCCGTATTCAGATAAAAGCCTTGAAAATTATTAAATATTGCTAACATAATTGTAATATAATCAAATGGAAGGAAAAAAACGCTGTGTAAAATTTAAAATTAGATAAAAAAGCAATCTTAATAGTTTGGTGTATGATTCAAATAAAACTCTATTGATTTCAAAGGTGACCAAGCATAGGTCCTTCAAGAGCAAAACAATTCTTCTTTTTTCTATTCACGCGAACGGGCTGGCTGCATGGGTGTTTTCGTGGTTTTCCCCATGTGTAACGTGTATACGAGCCAGTTTTCCTTAGGAAGTCCTCCACGAAGGCATCCCTCCCCTTAGGCAGATAGCCCTAGTGTGCTTTGCCATAATTAAATACACCACACCACACATACTTTTTTATTCCTAAAGGATAAGCACCTAACACTGATTGCCTCCGAAATCGAGAGTTTAAATCAAAATCTACGCCAAAGTAAGTTTGCTTTCTTTCATAATAAGTAAAATATGCTTAAAATGTTGGAATAATTAACTAACTAAGAAAAATTTAAGATTTGTCCTACTAAAATAAAGTATACAAGCATAAACGTAAGACAAAAAGGTCAAACAAAAATAAGGCAAAATTTGTCGTTTGTTAAAAATGTTTTAGCACTAACAAAATGCCAAATACGACTTTTGCAATTCAGATCATATTGCATTTTAATATTATAAGCATCTAGATTGCATTTTGCAATCTAGATGCATATAGATCATAATAATAATATTTAGAACAAAGTTTACCATCATAAAAATACATAACACCAACAAGCAAAAACAAAATAAAATTTGCAATTAAAAAAAAAAAAAAAAAAAAAAAAAAAACTCTACTTTGTAAAGCACTACGTTCTGTGTAACATTATTTGTATTGCAAATTACGTTAAGGAATTAATTCCCTCCCTTTCCCTTTTTCTATGTATATTAATATTGTATAATATAATATATTAGTGATATTATAATTCCATTAATCGTTGCATACAAGACATTATTTTACGTTAAAAAGCATTAGTAAAAATAAATTATTTGTATTTTGTTCATATTTCTTATTTCTAATTTTCAGAATAATATTTTCTATTGAGGATTCAAAATACTTTTAAACCATTCAAAACAATAATTACTTTGTATCAATGAAAATATTTACCTTTAATTTAAGGTAAAATTAAATGAAGTATGTTAAATGAAAGTCAACTGATTATTTCCTAAGAAGCGGATTCTAAAGTTTTTGTTAAGTAGACTATAGCCGTGTGAAGTTAATTAAGAATTGTATAGGTTTATTTAAGGTTATTTTTCTACCTGATTTATATTTTCTTACTAGGAAACTTATCTCCACTTCTATTTGTTAGAAGATTAAGATTCTTGGCAAAAGAAACCTTCAGACAGGTTATAAGAAGTAGAGCCAGAAGGAATTGCAGCATTTTTCCCGTGCATCCTTTGAGATGAAAGCATTTAGCATATCTAATTAGTAACTGGAAAATCCATGATTCGAATCTAAGCAAAGATCAATATTTCCTTCCTTTTGCTCAGAAAAGATTAATTCTCCGTACAAAGTTATCTATCAAATAAGAGAAAAATTACTTTTCTTTTTTTTATATTTATATACTAAGAAGATTAAAATCCTCAACAAAGGCAACTTAGAAGGCGTGAATGAAAATGGTTACTTCCGTTTTATTACTGCTAGGGACAAAAAATAACAGCAAAAGCAAGATAATAACGATAAGGATATATACATAAAAAGTGAATCTCTGAAGCGACTCAGATTTTAAACCACGTTTTACAAAATCGCAATTTACGCAAAGTGCTTAATGATCACAATGAAAAAACACTAAAAATTATAATCTTTAGAAATGTGATTATGATGAAAACGTTTTTCTTTGGTTATCCGTTTAATAAATAAACATAGCAAAGAAGATTAAAACGCAAAGATGTTTGCAAAATAAATTAAAAGAGATACGAAACTTTAGAAAGCATAGAAATCAAAGCTGTTGAGACAGAAAATTTCAAATTTCGAACCTTGGCAGTTTGAGCTAGATATAATTTGTGCACTGCTTTCTCCGTGAGTCAATGGTGCTGTTTGTGACCTACTAATGACAGCAAATTGCTATTAACTCTACGAAACAAATCTTTCCTTCCACTAACCACAGACAGAGTCACAAAACCGAAAGATATACGCTTTTTTCTTAGATGATTTTGCTTGCTGTAGAGAAATATATTAAGAAAAAAAAATGGTTTGGTTTATTTGATTTTGAAAAAGCATACTGAGCGGCTTGGCTAACAGAATGGAAGCCTTCTCTAAAGAAAACTGGCTCATATATTTAAAAAATTACAAAGAGTAGAAATAAAGACGAATTTTAGAGTTATAATACTTTCGAATTATATTGGGTTTGTATGGTTTTATGTTTATTAACCAGCTGCTTTATTATTTTTGCCTTTATTATCATTTTTATTTTCATAAATTTGAACAGAATGCAAATTAGTTAATGTATATACATATAGGGTTGTTGATTCAGGTTAAAATAGCACGCCGAACAAATATTAATTTAGAAGTCAAACAACGAAAATCAGCGTTATATTTGCAAATTTTCACACGACTGGTTTCAAATATTTTACCGAACCATCAGCCTCAGCTGCCGAAGTGCAAATGGAAGCTGAGGATGATGGTTGAGTAAAACTATCGAAAGTAGTCTTGCGAAAATTTGCAAATATAATGGTGATTTTTGTTGCTTGGCTTCTAAATTAATAGTTTTCTTGAGTTTAAGAAAGAGCTCATGGAAACTTTCGCTGATCATCCTGATATTATTTTATCCCAGGTTCTGAATTCACTTTGGGTTCGGCCTTAGCTTAGCTAGCCACATTTGCTCGCGTCAGTTGAGGGCCAGAACCAAAACTTATAGGCATGCGTTGTCTTGTGAATCTCATATTTTAAATACCTAAATTTTACTTTAACTTTGTTACTGTTTATTCCGCAAGTAACATAGACTGTTTCTGTTATTATACAGATTGTATAAATGCTAGGTTGAGAAATTAATAAAAAGGTTTATTTTAAATCTCATTATTACTTCACTAGAAGATTAAGATGGGGTGGTAAGTCGCTTGAATTTCTTCACGGAGCCAGAGTTAACAGTTAAAGTAATTAAGTTCCGTACAGTTTTACTAGATTGCAATTTCCACCGTAAATCGAAAGGCAATTATAACGGATACATATATTTTATTAAACATTAATTAGACAGCTATAAACTTCAGTGTTATTCATTAAGTAGACAAAAATAACAGTTATTAAGGCCTAAACATCTTTTGTGCTTACCAAGAATGAGCTTCAGGTACAGAAAGTGACTGCACCGGCGGCATCCCTTTGATTGGCATTTCTGGATCTGTAACTGAACTGAAGAAGATGCCCTTTTCTTCCTTGTTCAGATAGTTAAGATCCGGAGGATGCAAAGGAAATCCGGGGCTAAGTGTTTCCTCCGCCAATCCTTGAAATGTGAATATTAGCAATTTTTACCAAGAATAATTGAATTGTACAGCATATATTTAAAATAAATTAGGTGTATACAGTTATGCTAGCCGAGTAATCGGCTGCTATCGACAGCCGAGTAATTTTGTTGTATACAAGGCTACCTAAACAATACGTATAAAATATTTGCTAGGCATATACTATTTGTTATATACAAGGATACATATATCTATGCTGTATACAAGGCAACAAGACTGCTTATTATTATATAGCTGGAACATTAAGTTACTTTTCTAACATAATATTTCTTATGAAAACAATACAAACATCACATTTCTAACAGGAGTTGCAAACACTGAACTTATCACTATCATAGAAACACTTAATACTCTTGACATAGTGTTTATGAAAGATTAAAAATAAGTTTCTTCTTTTCAGTAAAAGATTGCGCTTCAATTCAAGAAAACCTTTCGATAGATTAAGTACTGGTTTTTTTTTTTTTTTTGCTGTCCTCACTTGACTTACACATTGCTGTTAAGTACGTTTAAGCTCTATGAAGAATAGCCAATGTTTCAGATTTTAAATTACGTCCAAAGCGGCGTTTTTTAACATTTTGTGTGTTACCTTTCTTTATTAACTATCATGTTCCTCGCACTTAAACCATAAGATCCAGTGCAACAGCAATATCGCAAAATAGTTTTAAAACGAGCATATCTTTAGAATTTCCGATACAGAGACTCACGCGCTGGAGATAAAAATGTTTTTTCTGCACAACGTTGCCATTGCTCGCTTTGAAATCCTTGAGTTTGTTAATCAAAAATTCGTCAAAGTTTTAAAAAATAGGAAATCGATCATAAAACAAATTTCAAATTTCAAATTTGGTCTTCCACATGCTCATATTCGTTGGAGGATTACGTTATTCAAAATTCGATGACTCTATGTACCGTTGTTTTATCACAATACGAGAAATATACATACATTTATGCAGATTTTTCATTATTTAATTTCTTCAAATATAATGCAGGACTCTAACATTTTGTGGCAACAGTTTGAAAAGTGAACCGACATTTATGAGTCCGACGCAAAATGCCAAAACGAAACTAATAGTCTTTCGGGATTCAAATCCCTTTGGACTAAAAATTATTTGAGATGGCCAAAAATGAATCCCGGATTTCTGTAATATGTAGAGTTACTACAACGTTTGGTACTTTTCCGTTTCGCCGGCGCAAATCTCGCCAAGCAGACTTTGTTGGCGACAACATACAGTATACACATAAAAAATGTTAATTCTAAGAATTTTTTTTATTTTGAAGGCATAAACATTTTAATATGGTTTAAAATTTTGTAAAAAGCCAATAAATAAAGACAATAAATTTGTAAAAAGACATTAATTTAAGAATTTACTATGCTTTCATGGTTCAAAATCCTGATTCGCCGGTTCGTATCACGTGACCCCAAGTGATCTCATCTCACGTAAACTACGCTACTAAAATCTAATTCGCTCAGTAATTATCTACATTAATTTCAAGTTAAATCTTAATTTGGAATACAAGTTTAAATGCAAGAATTATTTCAATTCGTACGAATAGCTTACTCAGAAATTATGTAAAACCGCAGTGCTTTACTTCGCTAGTGCATTCTCATTAGAATTGATGAATTTAACACTTGGTTTCGCCTTCGGATGAGCGGTGTAATTACGTTCTAATTGACTTAGAACTAATTGACTTATTACCGTGAATTGTCTTAGGGGATAAAATTTAAATATCGTGTAAAAATTCTATATGCCAGTATTGAAAGAAACAATCTCATAAGAAATGGCTTCAACTTGTTTTGAAACTGAGGCGTAAAAGGTTACCAGCGAAGATATTTCGTCTGGCATCAGTTAAACCATTATTGGCGACTTTATCGTTTGCGCCGGCAAAACGGAAAAGTACCCAACGTTTAATACAACAGGTAATTTCTGATATAAAATGTATAAACATTATGCCAACGGATATTTTAATACAGATCTTCATATTTTGTTAAGTGTTTTTGGGCCGTGTTTGTTTTGAGGATAACTAAGGAAAAAAATGCACTTTTTAACAATTATGCTGTTTTACATTCGGTAAGGGTAAAACGCAGTTCAGATGGCAAAACCAAATATGATGGGCATAATGATGATGTAATTAACTAATGAAAAAACTAAAGAATTATATAGTTTACGAAGTTTCATAATGAAGATTTATTTATCCAATGCAAATTTACTGACATTGATAATGGAATTAACTGTAAATTTACTGACATTGATAATGGAGCGTGAAAATAATCTGTATAACACGATAAGGCGAACTGATGATATATTTGAAAATGATATATTGCAAAATCCAAAATTGAAAAACATTTCCACCAGTTTGAAAATATTGCAATCGGAAAATAACTTTTGGCCAATTCAATAATTCTCATATATTTTAGAAGTGGATTCTCGGAGAAGCACGTTGAAACAAATTGCAACAATAAATGTAATGAAAAAAAAATAATTCTCAAAGATAACATAATTTATTTTTTCATTTCAAAAGTAAAAACAAAACTGATTGCAACATGTTAGGACTTTAAGATATGTTTAAAAACGACTAAAAGTTGAAAACAATCAGATTTATTAAAAAGTAGATTTTTCGATTTAATATTTATATGCCTAGAAAATAATATAGAAATTAATCACTATAAATTTTTATCAAAAATAATTTAAAATTACTGGTATTTTTGTTTAATTTTTAAATTAACTCTATTTTTATTTTTTATTATTTACAAACTAAAAATTAATAATGCACTTAAACCGTATTGTTTGAGCATATTTTCACGTTAAGTTGCTGCTTGTATAATAAAAAATAAATTAAATCATAAGTGTTATTTTTAGAAAGGAGATTTTTCTTTCAAATCTGTATCAGATCTGCATAAAAGTGTATTTAGTAACTGTTATTGTAATTGTGATGCATAAAAACTGGAACATTATGCATTATACAATATGAAGCCATGAAATGTAGTTTTTAGTTATCATTTTGTAAATTACCTTGTGGGTCAATATTTAAAACTTTTAAATACTTTGAATTTGAAAAGTCTGAAATATGAAAAATTTCGATGCAATTTTAACATACACAATCAATCACAACTCTAGAAGAGGCAAACGAATTAAACTTTTTAACAAATGGCGAACTCCTCTTTTATTCACACTGATTAAAGAGTAGAGACTTTTTCTAATAATTTGATTCTGAAATAGGAAATGTTCTTTTTTTAGGTGAGGGTTACTGCAGTCAGACCTTACGTTTGAATCAATGCCAAACAAAGGAATAATTTCGTAATGCAATTCATTAGAAAAATTTGCTACATAATGATAGAACTCTCATGTGAAAATCAGTGAATACATAGATGTTTACATCTTCAAGCGTAAATTTATTATATTAAACATAACAATATTTTTTAAGCTTAGATGTAGCATTTGACTTTTATTTAAAGATTTTTAAGGTGCTAAATATTTTAAAACTAAGACGCTATCATTTAAAGTTTTGTGCATAATGAGACTGAACTATGCCAGTCTGTAGAGAGCAAAATGCATTTATTTCCTTTAATGTTAGTTAAAATGTTCCGCGCGTAATTTCATAAATGAATTAGTGAGCTATTCCTCATTTTAGGTTTATATACGCTGCAAATAATAAAACGCAAGAAAACATAAATAAAGCTTTAATGCAAATCTTGCTTTAACCTGATGTCAAAATGTTGCTCTTGTTTAAATAATGCAAGATGACATGTTTTGCATTATAAATAAATCAACATCATTTGCAGACTGTTAGAAATTAAACGCTAAAATGTCAAGTAACTTTTTAATTTGATGCATTGCACTTTTTTAGAGAAATTATAGCATTTTAAACAACATGTCAAAATGACGACAAATAAAATATCCCCCTTTTCAAATGCCTTATTTTCATGCTCCCATTATCACATTTTACTAAATATGGAAAACCTAGAAAAATTTCATAAAGATCAAGCTAGAAAATGTAAACAAGTTGAGCAACTTAAAAACCAAAGTTCTATCGATAGCGTTTGCTCTTGTTTCGATCTATTATTGATTTGAACGATACTGAAGATAGAGGTCACAGTGCAAGAAGCGTGACCTTTGGTCATCAGCTAAGAAATAAACAATTAAAATTCTCTAGCCAGAACGTAAATAATGCTCTAAATGCTCATTTCTAAATAGAAATATCTGATCGTAGCGTAACAACCGCTGTCTCGTGTCCTTTGATTCAATCGCTGATTAATGTTCCAAAACGAAGCACACAATAATAAATTATCCTTACCTAAGTATTTTAGGATAAACGAACTGATCTTGTGGACGCTTCGATAGAAGGTGGACAAAGAGTGACCAACCATACAGCACATTTCTGAAGGACGGAGGAAAGGTAAATAAACTAATAGTTTTTCCTCCGTTCTCACTACAAACTCTCTGCGGATCTCTTAATGTTCAAAGAAAGCCATCTTGTAACCCTACGCGATCGATAGGGGCTGTAAAGCGGTTGGCGCTAGTTGCACAACTACGCCGAATAAAAAAAGTGCTTCGAGATAACTTTACGAATCACTTAAAGGATTAGCTTTCAATGCCTCGAATGAAAAAGAGGATCTGTAAACAAGGTAGAAAGAAAATGTCAAGTGGAAGTCATACGATTATTTTAAATTAAATTTATGAGACAATAATCGGTGTTAAAAGTAATTTTGTTTATTGCCAATACTCAGATTTAGAATAAAGTAATTTTGCAACAAAATTAACACATCGGTTATTTGATTGTTATACTTTCTGTATTGAAAAGAGATTTCTCTCTCTGCTTTTTTATTTTTTTAAATATGCAAGTAACTGAAATTTAGCATCTATAAAAAAAAAAAAAAAAAAAAAAAAACATCACAAGGAAGATAAATTTGACTGAACAGCAAAAATTCTTATTTTCGCAATGAATGTGAATTCTCTGAACCCTTCTGCATTATTTTACTTTAAAT